GCATGCCTGAGGCCCTGGGTTCAATTCCTCAGCACCACATAAGCAAAAAGAAAAAAGCCGGAAGTGGCGCTGTGGCTCAAATGGTAGAGTGCTAGGCTTGAGCTGAAGAGCTGAGGGATAGGCCCAGGCCCAGAGTTCAGGCCCCCTGACCGGACCCCCAAAAAATAAAATAAGATAAAGTAAAGAAAGTTGAGATCTGCTGAGTTTTATTATTTGCTCAGCCAAATTCATATAGCTAGGATTTCAATCCATGCCTGATTCATGATCTGTGTGTGTGTTTGTGTGTGTGTGTGTGTATGTGTATGCAAGAGAGAAACAGAGAATATGTGTGTGTATGGGGGCTTGTACTTGGGGTCTGGGTGCTATCTCAACTTTTTTGCACAAGCTTTTCTATCACTTGAGTCACAGCTCCATTTTCAGCATTTTGTTCATTAATTGAAGGTAAGAGTCTCACACTTTCCTGCCTGGACTGGCTTCAAAGCATGATTCTCAGATCCCCACCTCCTGCTTAGCTAGGATTACAGGTATGATTCACCAGTGGCTGGCTTCTGACTAAAGATCTCTCAACCACTAAGCTACTCTACCTCATTCAGAACCAGGTTCCTGGGTTGTCCTGATGAACACACATGAAAATTCATTAGGACTACCCAGGCACCTGGTTCATGAAGATTACCTAATGCCCCATGAAGGCACAGACCATCCCCCCTTCCCCCCCCCCCGCCCCAGTTTTTTTTTTCAGTTCTGGGGATTGAACTCTGAGTCTGACACTGTCCCTGAACTCTTTCACTCAAGACATGATCTACTTTGAGCCACAGTTCCACTTCCAGTTTTCTGGTGATTAATTAGTCTCACGTATACTCAGATCTCAGCCTCCTGAGTAGCTAGGATTGCAGGTGTGAGCCACCAGCACCCAGATCAATCCAGTTCTCTGCTGTTCTCTTTTTTGTTGTTGTTGGTCATGGGACTTGAACTCAGGGCCTGGGCACTGTCCCTGAGCTTTTCTGTTCAAGGCGGATATGCTACCACTTTGAGCCACAGGCTCTACTTCCAGTTTTCTAGTGGTTAAGAGTCTTACAGACTTTCCTGCCTTGGCTGGCTTTGAACCGTGATCCTCAGATCTCATCCTCCTGAGTAGCTAGGCTGTCCTCTCTTCTTAAGGTGCTTCTTGCTCACCATATGAGAGGGAGGGAGTCCCCCCTCCCTCCAAACAGCGCTAAGCCTCCTCCTCCAGGCTTCCATAACACCCAGTGAGTGGGATCCCTGACACAGAAGCCACACCATGCTGAAATGTCCACCTTATCTTCCCCAGCCTCACCAGAGATTCCTCATATATAGGACAAACTTTTTTTTTCCTTTTTATTTTCAAATCACCAGTGGCTCACACTATTAGGTTCATAGCACACAACAAATGCTTCTTGAAGACAGGAGTCAAATAAATCTTTGGGAAGAAAAACAAGATAAAGGTGATGTATGGCATATTTTGTTTGTTTGTTTGAAATCATCCAAGGCTTGGTCTAGAATCCAGATCTTCTGGTTCCAATTCCAGGCCTCTCTCCTGTACACAGTAACTTCTGTTCTTGCTGGGAATGAGAGGAGCGGGCAGCAGCTGAGTCTGCAGATGCCCTGCGCATCTCTGAGCACTGGGGAGAGGCTTGATGGTGTGACCCCACCCTGTCTCCCCATCCCTTGCCACAGTCACCACTGCATTGTCCAGAGAAGTCATTTCTACCCCAAGCCTTCCCTGTGACCCAGGCAGGGTTGAAATCCACACCATACTTGACTAGAGTTTGGGGTAACTAAACCCTTTCAGCAATCCAGGGAGAAGCTGGACCCACGACCCCAGAGCCCAAAGAAGGGGAAGACCCCCCTAGTGAAGGAGGCGGTAAAAGTGTAGATGTGCTCCTGGGTGATGGCGTTGGCGAAGGTCACCCAGCCCACCTCGTAATCCAGAGACACCCGCACCTTGCGAGGCTGCTTCTCCAGGGCCAGCCGGGTGGGGAAGGAGCCCAGAGCGGAGATGAAGCCCCAGGCCAGCCGGATGGCCCACACCCCCTCCTCTGGCCTCAGCCGAAGCTCCCCCTTCCTCCGCACCTCCTCACTCACCACACCCAGGGTGCAGCTGCCCCCGTGGGTCAAGTCCACACCCACCACCCACGAGTGTCTCCCCCCTGTGAAGCCACTGTGGGCCAGAACACAAGTAGCCCGGTCAAAACGCTGGGGGTTGTCCGGTGAATTCTGCCATTTATAGGAGAACCGAGCCCGCCGGTGATTTTCGGACAGAAGGAGTTTGGGGTGGGAAGTCTGGGGGTCGAGAGAGATGTGAGCTGTCCGGGGAAAGAATGGAAGAGATAAAGATGTCAGCTGGTCCACGGTGACGTTCAAGGGCCCAGAAAGCACCCTCCATGTCTACCTGGGCATTCCTATGAAAGCACTTCTGAACTTGCTAGAAATACTCAGAATCTGTGTGTCCAGACCCCACCACGTTCCTGTTGTCTTCAAGAGAGCTGCAAATTGCCAGGTACTGGTGGTTCACGCCTGTAATCCCAGCTACTCAGGAGGCTGAGATCTGAGGATCGTGGTTCAAAGCCAGCCCGAGCAGGAAAGTCCAAAGACTCTTATCTCCAATGAACCACCAGAACACCGGAAGTAGCTCTGTGGCTCAAGGGGTAGAGCGCTTGCCCTGAGCTGTCAAGGATAGGGCCCAGGGGCTTGTATATAGGGCCTGAGTGCTGAACCTGAGCCCTGTTGCTCAAGGCTAAATGCTCTACCACTTGAGCCACAGCTCCACTTCTGGCTTTCTCGGTGATTAATTGGAGATAAGAGTTTCACAGACTTTCCTGCCCCAGTTGGCTTCAAACCACGCTCCTCAGATCTCAGCTTTGCCTCCTGTTTAGCTATGGGATTACAGCTGTGAGCCACTAGCACCCAGCCATATTGTTATTTTTAGTACGTATAAATTGAGAAAAATCTATAAATTCAGCAACCCTTCCAGCAACCCCATGAATCCCTAGGGTCTTTGGTTGGTAGATGGGGAACAATGGCCTTGAAGGAGTTTATTGTGTTCATTCCTGTCTCGGCCCCAGGCTGCCCTCCTGTCATCTGTCATCTGAGGGAGCAGGTGCCCCTGACGGTTATGAGAATGGGATTCTAAACTCAGGCAAGTTCCCTCATCCAGAAAGTCTTCCCTGACTCACTGGGTCCCATTTTGATCCTATCTTCCTTTCCACTGAACATGTGCACAGCAGAGCCAAGCGTCATCAGGAGGGCATGAGCCTGTCCTTTGTACCAGTTCTCCTCGGGACCTTACAAAGTCAGTGTACTCTATGAAACGCTTATTCTTATGGGGATAGGAATTGGGACTCATGTCCCTTGTATAAATGAATGTAATGTGCCCAAGCCTCAGTATCTCATGTCTGTTATCCTAGCAAGTCAGGAGGCTGAGATCTGAGGATCATGGTTTGAAGCCAGCCCTGGCAGGAATGTTTGAGGCTTTTATCTCCAATTAAAAACTTAAAAAGCCAGATATGGTGCTGTGGCTCGAATGGTATTAACACTAGCCTTAAGCAAAAAAAAAAAAAAAATCTCAGGGACAGGGCTGGGAACATGACTTAGGGGTAGAATGCTTGCCTAGCATGCACGAAGCCCTGGGTTTGATTCCCCAGTACCACATGAACAGAAAAGGCCAGAAATGGCACTGTGGCCCAAGTGGTAGGATGCTAGCCTTGAACAAAAGAAGCTCAGGGACAGTGCCCAAAGCCCTGAGTTTAAAGCCCCAGAATCAGTGCATGTGCACACATGCACACACACACACACACACACACATCATAATGTTTACATATAACCTCCATATATTCCCCCATATACTTTAAATCTCTAGATGACTTATATTATTATAATGTTACATTTTAAGTATTATAATGTAATTATAAGACTTAAATGTAAATGCTATATAAATAGTTGTTATATTTTGTTATTTAGGGAAAAATGCCAAGGGAAGGAATGTTTGACTTTGTTTAATACAAATATAACTTTTTTTTCCTGGTCATATAGTAGCATCACTGGGGTGTGAATTCAAGGCGTGCAGTTGTTTGGCTGTCACTCTACTACGTGAGCCACATCTCCAGCCTGTCTGTTGGACTATTCTCCCCAAGCTGGCTTTGAACCAAGATCCCCCAGATCTCAGTCTCCTGAGTAGCTAGGATTATAGGTGTGCTGCTGGTACCCAGCCTGAATGTTTTCTGAGGTCGAATGTAGAATCTGTAGATATGGAGGGCTACCGTGGGTATGCACATGTATATTTAGACACACAAGTGTATATGGCATGTATATACATAGGTGTACCTATGACTTGAGTGTGAGTATATATGACTACCATATTGCCTAGTGGAGATGGGAATCTGTCTTTCCTTTTTAGGGCCTCCTCACTGTCTCCCATCCTGATGGAAGGTGCTTACCTGGCTCATAGTCCAACTCAAAGCAGAGTTTCTCTGTGAAAAGGAAATAATAAGAGAAGATTTCATTAGTGTCAAAACCAGAGAAGACCCCTCTCCTCATCCCCATCCCAGATAAAGGAGCAAAGCAAATGGAAGCTACAGTCATCTTGACCAGTGGTTCTAAACTTCTGCGGGCATCTTAATCTCCTGGAGCTCCTACCACCATACCCTGGTTTCAGGTGTTCCTGAAAATGTGGGGTGGGGCTGCAAATGTTCAGTTCCAGGGGGTATTGATGCTGCTGGGTGGGGTTCCATTTTGAGGCCCACTGCCCCAGCTCTGAGCAAGCAGGGACTATGTCTCCTTTGTACACTTGTAGCCCCAAAACATGCTAAGCTAGGCATTAGTGGCTCGTGTCTGTAATCCTGAGATCTGAGGATCACAATTTGAAGCCACCCTGCGCAGGAAAATCTACAAAATCTACTTAATCACAGAAATCTACTTAAGCACAGAAAAAGCCAGTGTCCAGGCTCAGAGTTCAAGCCCCAGGACTGACAAAAAAGAATATGCTAAGTGTTAAAGATCCATCTGCTTAATGGATAAGTAAGTGGACTCATTCATTGTTGTGCTTTAAAATAATTTGAGATTAGGCAGAAGTCAGTCTTTTTCTCCCATAATATTGGGGATTGAATCCAGGGTCTGGAACATGCTAAGCAAGCAATGTACCTCTGAAGCCATGCCACCTCCTTAATTTGGGGGGTTTTAGTTCATTTTGATAAATGTTTTTTGTTTTTTTTTGGGTCCAGTCGTGGGGCCTGAACTCTGGGCCTGGGCGCTGTCCCTTAGCTCTTCAGCTCAAGGCTAGTGCTCTACCACTTGAGCCACAGTGCCACTTCCGGCTTTTTTCTTTTTGCTTATGAGGTGCTGAGGAATCGAACCCAGAGCCTCAGGCATGCAAGGCAAGCGCTCTACCACTGAGCCACCTTCCCAGCCCCAAATGTTATTTTATATGATCAGATGCATAGAGACGTTGCACCTTTGTGTTCCTCTACTAAGAATATCCTCCCTCAGGGAGGTGGGGAGGGAAGGGATGGTAGGGGAAAAACAAAGAGGAGGTAACAATGCTCCATAGGAAATGTACTCATTACCTTACTGCAACCCCTTTGTACACTATTTTAAAAAAAAAACATAAAAAGGAATATAGTATTAAAGAAAAATGGCAAAATTTGGAAACTGGAATTAGAAATTGGAAAAAAAGAATATCCTCCATCCATCTACCCCTTTAGTTTTGTGTTCTGTTTCTAAGATAGGGTCTCATAAACTCTTCTGGCCTCTGGAAATCCTCCTGACTCTGCCTTCTGAGTAGCTGGGATTATAGGTATGTGTACTCCTCCCCATCTGACTAGTCAACCTTGGAATAAGGTGAAATTTCCTTTCCTGCAAGGTCACTAGGAATGCTAACAGGAAGTGGACTTAGGGGGAGCGTTGTTCTACAGTGATGCTTTGGAGGGTGGACTTTTAGAAATAGGGGACATTGCTGGGCGCTAGAGGCTCACGCCTGTAATTCTAGCTACTCAGGAAGCTGAGATCTGAGGATCATGATTCAAGCCAACCACGGGCAGGAAAACCTATGAGACTCTAATCTCCAATAAACAACTAGAAAACTGGAAGTGATGCTGTGGCTCAAGTGGTAGAGCCCTCGCCTTGAGCTGAAGAGCACAGGGACAGCGCCCAAGCCCAGAGCTCAAGCCCCTCGACCAACCAAAAAAACAAAGAAAGAAAGAAAGGAAGGAAAGAAAGAAAAGAAATAGGGGACATTGTTTATGATTTCACAGACTGGGGAAGGGCAAAAGCCACATTCCCTTCCAACTCTCATCCCAGCTTTTCCTTTCCCTCTCCCATCACCCTTTCCTGTTCCCAGAAAAGCCACAGTTCCTATACAGACAACCCAGCCCCAGGAGCCACATGAACAGAAGGAAAGAGAAAGAGCAAGCAAGGCATTAGTCAGATACCAGAGGATCCATGTAAATACTATCACTGGCTACTGACTAATGGTGTTTATCAGAAATTTATCATGAACTGCAGATTATGCTGTGGGCATTTTAATTATTTTTTTTGGTCCGGTCGTGGGGCCTGAACTCTGGGCCTGGACACTGTCCCTCAGCTCTTCAGCTCAAGGCTAGCGCTCTACCACTTGAGCCACAACGCCACTTCCAGCTTTTTTCTTTTTGCTGAGGAATCGAACCCAGGGCCTCTGGCATGCAAGGCAAGCGCTCTACCACTGAGCCACCTTCCCAGCCCCTGGGCATTTTAATTATTGAGAATGATATTTTTAATCTCTCTCTCTCTCTCTCACTCACTTGCTCGCTCGGTGTGTGTGTGTGTGTGTGTGTGTGTGAATATTGGGGCTTGAACTCAAGGCCTCAGGCTCTTACTTGGCTTTTCTGCTCAATGCTGGTATTCTACCATTTGAACCACACCTCCATGTCCAGATTTTTGCTACTTATTTGGAAATAAGAGTCTCTAGGATCTGCCTTCCGAGGCTGGCTTTGAACCTAGATCCTCAGATCTCAGCCTCCTGAGGAGCTAGGATTGATTACAGGCTTGAGCCACCAGCTGATTTAGCACAAGCATTATCTTTTGCATTGCTTAATGCCAACTGATAAAATTTAATTATTCTTCAAATCAGTTGAACTTTTCTTCAGAAATGTTCACTTTTATTGTTTTTCATATTGTCATATTATTTTCAGAGTCAGCATTTATCAAAAGTCTCAGATAACATAGTCAAAGCACGGAAAATATATAAATATTCACCACTATGGGGAGTGGAGCAAGAAGGCCTTTCCTAAATCCAGGCTGTATGGCCACCTGTGCTCCATGGAGCTCTTACCCAGAAACTTCTTCATCTCCCTTTGCAGGGGGAGGGCCTGCTGGGGGAAGTCCCGGATCCTCTGGCCCAGCTCAGGAGACACAGCCTCTGGTTTTCGGCACTTTCTGGTTTCACATCTAGGGGCAGAGAAACAATGGAGTCTAGGAATTCTTCTCCTTAATGATGCTTGCAGAGCTAGTTAGACATCTACTCATAAGGCTGAGGTACCAGTTCAGTTCCCATGGACAGCCTTCCTCTAGGATGCCCAGCTGCTATATAAGATACGGGTACTTGCAGCTCTAGGTGACAATGCATTTGGATGTGTGGAAGTTTATGTGTGAATATACGTCCTTTACGCAGGATGTTGTATATTTATATGGCAGTAACTAGAACAATGGGGCATATCTGTATTTATGTGGAAAAAGAAAATGGACATCCCATGACTTACCTTATTAGAGTGCTCCTGATATCCTAGATGGGAGAGAAAGAGTTTCAGAGTTTCAGGGTTTTCCTCCCTCCCTCCCTCCTTCCCTCCCTCCCTTCCTGCCTTCCTCACTTCCCTTCTATTTTATAATATTGGGGTTGAACTTAGTGCTTGCTAATACTTGACCATTCCAGCCATACCACCAGTTCTTTTGCTTTGGGATTGCTTTCACATTAACTGTGACCAGGCTAGCCTCAAGCCTCGATCTTTCTGGCTCTGAGTCCTGAGTAGCATGTTGCCACTATGCAAAGGTTTCCTATTTTTCTTATGTTCATATCCTTGGACATTTCAGAAAGGGACACCAGATGCATAAAGGTCAGATTGTTAGGGTTTACCAAACCTTGGGAATCAGAGTCCAACTCCTTTACTGTATAGACCCAGGTGATGAAGGGACCTGTCTCTACTAGTTAGAGGCTAAGTTGAACAAGTCCCACTGAAGTTTCCTGTTTCTCCCTCTCCAGTGATTTCCCCTAAATCTTGCCTTCAGATGCTTCTGATGCTTTGCTCACAGCCCAATCTCTCTCCTCCAGTTCAAAGAATTAAAACAGATCAGGAAGAACTTTCTGACTGGTAGAAGGGGTCACTCAGGATAAAGAACAATTTGCACTGGAAATAGCACCTGGCATTTGTTTACATAGTACCATGTGTATGTGTGTGTGTGTGTGTGTTTGCACGTGCATGTGTGTGCACACACATGCCTTGAACTCTCACTTGGCTTTTTCACTCAAGATTGGTGCTCTACCACATGAACCATAGTTCCTCTTCTGGCTTTTTGCTGGTTGAATAGTTGACTGGAGATAGGGTCTGTTGGATTTGTCTGCCTGGGCTGGCTTCACACTGAGATCCTCAGATCTCAGCCTCCTGAGTAGCTAGGATTATGGTGAGTCACCAGTACCCAGAAATAATTAGTATTTTTCAAAGTGCTACTTCCATGTGCATTTTACTGATGGATCCTTACAGAGGCCCCATGAGATGGTTAATAGAGTGACGGATGTTAATCCATGCTGTTCAATACATGTGGGATGGAAAGACAGACAGGAAAGCACAAAGACCAGGAACTCATGAAAGCATGGGCAGAAACTCGGGCCTCTGGTCTCATAACTCATCTCCTATCATGGATGCAGATGTGTGTGAGTGAAGGAGGCACAGTTTAGTCAAGGAAGATACAGTGATTCCAGGGACCACAGGGACAGGGGACAGCTCAGGCCTCACCGTCAGGAGCTCTCTTGCCGGTCTCTCATTCTTCTCCTCCAGTTCTTCAATCAGGGCACTGAACCGGCAGATCTCCCTAGAGACCAGGAATTCTAACTCTTCCTGTTGCTTCAAGATGTCTCCATCCAGCCTCTCCAGCTGTGTTAACAGAATGCCCTGCTGTTCCTCCAGGAATCGGCTTAGGTGGGCAAACTCAGAAATCACCTGCTGTCTTTTGGTAGCCACCTGAGTCTGAGAAGACAGAGCAAGAGACAAGGAAGATGTCGCTCTCACCTTCACCAGGACTGCCTCCTCTTCCTTCCCTCCCTCTCCCTCCTCCGTCTCTTCCTTCTCCTTTTCCTTCTCTTTCTTACTTCACTCCCATCTCCCTCTTGGCCTAGTTCCACATGCTCCCAGATTGGGTGGCGAAATCAGAACCTCTCCCATCTCCCTAGTCCCCAGACAGAATTAGAGTTGGCATGGCTTCTTTCCACCTGCCCATTCCCTCTGGGGACCAGGCAGCCCAGCATTGACTCAGCACACCATCTGGGAGCCAGACAGCCCAGCATTGACTCAGCACAACGACCATAAAGGGGCAGGGAGAGAAGTTGGTTCAGAAGAGGTGCGAGGAAGGCCTGGCCCTCTGCCTTGTAGGAATCACACATCACGTGCACAGCACTAACTAAGCCGCTCCTCCAGTGTGATCTCATTTAATCCTGGTAGCAGGCTGAGTAAGTGGTGATTTCTAATCTCTACCAACAAGTTAAACTGAAGTTAGGAGTTGCTTGAGGCTATGTAGTCTGTTCCAGAGTCAGGACTCAAATTCAGAATGATTTCAAAGCCCGTTCTGTTATGTTTCCCAGAGTGAGGGAGAATTCTAGACCTGGACCTACCAGGAGGACTTGTATCCTTTTGCTTTCTCTTGATTGGATTTCTTGAATCTCTTCTCTCTCTTTTCTTAGATTCATAAGACACTTGTGTATTTGTTCCTAGGGGACAAAATTCAAAGAAGGAAAATGATTTCTTAAGGGGTGTCATCTCGTCCAACTCTCTGCCTCTTTTTTGGGTCCGGTCGTGGGGCCTGAACTCTGGGCCTGGGCGCTGTCCCTCAGCTCTTCAGCTCAAGGCAAGCGCTCTACCACTGGGCCACCTTCCCAGCCCTTTTTTTTTTTCCGGTCGTGGGGCCTGAACTCTGGGCCTGGGCGCTGTCCCTCAGCTCTTCAGCTCAAGGCAAGCGCTCTACCACTGGGCCACCTTCCCAGCCCTTTTTCTTTTTTATGTTGTCAGTCATGGGGCCTGAACTCTGGGCCTGGGCACTGTTCCTCAGCTCTTCAGCTCAAGGCTAGCACTGTCTACCACTTGAGCCACAGCACCACTTCTACCTTTTTCTGCTTACGTGGTGCTGAGGAATCGAACCCATGGCCTCACATATGCAAGGCAAGCACTCTACCACTGAGCCACCTTCCCAGCCCGACAACAACTCTTGGGGTACTATTCTTTTTAATTTATACTTTCCCCTCTTCAATTTTCTTTTGGGGGGGAGGCACTGGTATTCGGGCTTGAACTCAGGGTCTGGGAGCTTTCTTTAATTCAAAGCTGGTGCTCTACCACTTGAATCACAGCTCCACTTCAGCTTTTTGGTGGTTAATTGGAGATAAGAATCTCACGGATTTTCCCTTCCTGGGCTGGCTTCAAACTTTGATCCTCGCATCTCAACCTCCTGTAGAGCTAGGGTTACAGGCATAAGCCATTCACCCCTGCCCTCCCCACCCCCCACCCTGCTCGGTTTTCATCAGCGCTTTCCCCCTTTTGTATACCATTGAAGACGGCAACTTTGTTCCCTCTGTGAGTCTGTCTTCAGGTTAAATATCCTAATTTCTTTTGATTTTAGTAAGTGGTACCTAAAATCTATCTTGAGCTTGGTATGTCCTTTGCTGCAATAATTCCAACTTCCTGACACATCCCAAAGGGATACAAAATATGCAAATAAATAACCTTCCTTCTTATCTAGGCATGATTCCAAACGTGAGAAGAAACTTGGATAGTGCAAAAATGAGACTAATTATTTTTAAAAAGTAATTTGCTCTGGAATAGATTAGGAACAGGTACACACCTAAATGCTCATCTGTGGTAGATTCAAAACTCTCACCACCAAATGCTAATTCACTAATTAAGACCTCTGCACACACAGACCCTCACTTGTACCAAGGCACCATACATAAACAACTAGAACCAGCACATACTTATTTAATGACCAATAACATTACATACCACATCTATTCATCCAACTCTACCTATACATCAACTAACATATTAATGAACAATAACAGTCAAACAGCTATACGCAAATACCCCCACCTAAACACACCATTCACCCCTGTAGACATGAAAACATCACTCATGTATTCAACTACTATGATTGAGCTCCTATGAGCTCAAGGGGAGCCAGGAACAAATACCTTAGAACTCAAGTCTTCAATCATAAATGTGTTGTTGTGGGACTGGGAATGTGGCTTAGTGATAGAGTGCTTGCCTAGCGTGCATGAAGCCCTGAGTGTGATTCCTCAGTACCACATAAACAGATAAAGCTGGAAGTAGTGCTGTGACTCAAGTGGTAGAATGATAGCCTTGAGTAAAAGAAGCTCGGGGACAGTACCCAGGCCCAAAGTCCAAGCCCCAGGACTGGCAAAAAGGAAAAACAAAACAGAACAGAACAACAACAACAAAAAAAAACACAAAAAACAAGAAAGTGTCATTGTCTTGCTTGCGTCTGTGGCCTGGGTAATCACATAAGTGGGGAGAAAGAATTTGGAGTCATGGTGACCCCCAAACGTCATAACTCTACTCTGCTTCCCTTAGTCCAATTCTAGCTCCACCCTGTGACCCCAGGGTCCCCTCTCCTACCCTGTAGGGACCAGCCGCGTCCTCCAAGAAGCGTACTGTGTGGGTTCCATGTTCCCCAGCCTCACGACACACCACGCACAGATGTGCCTCATCATCCTCACAGAAGAAGTAGACCTTCTCCCTGTGCTCCGAGCAGATGTCTTCATCCCCGGGGCCCAGCGTGGACACCAGCTGGAGGTGTTCGATGTTCTCCACCACGTTGGCCAGCTGCCAGTTGGGCCTGAAGCCCCCTGGGCGGAAAGGCTCCTTGCACAGGGGGCAGGTGAGGGACTCCTCAGACTCCGGAGCGGGGATCTCACAGTAACGAGTAAGGCAGCCCCGGCAGAAATTGTGGCCACAATCAATGGTGACTGGTTCCTTCAGAGTTCCTTGGCAGATGGGGCAGTTGACCTCATCGACCAGGCTGGTCACAGAGGCAGCTGTGGCCATGCTGGGGCTCTGAAGCCTTGCGCTTCCTGAAGGTCACCTCCACTGCTCAGCTGAGGGGGATCAGCAGGTACACACACCCACATGTGTCCACCCCTGGACAGAAACATAGTCACACACACCTGAACAAGGTACCTGTGTGCATCTTCTCTGCCACCAGAGTCCCTCAGGAGAAGACAGACACACCTGCCAGCCGCAGAGATGGAGAAAGAGCAGCAGAGGCGGAGGGTGTAGAGGGGTTCACGACATTCCCCAGATGGCCTCAGTTATTCTTGAAGCCTGGACACGGCCCATGGCTGGGCAGCTCCATTCACTCACCACCACTCCCAATAGAAAGAAGGTGCTGGTTATTCAGTCATCCACTGTTGACAAAGATCATTCTTGTTTGAGGGGACAGGAAAGAGACTGGCTCATGGAGTGGCAATGCCACCCCAGTCTCTCTTCAGTGCATCCAGCTGTCTCCAGGGAGATTGGCAGTATCAGGCAGCCCCGGGCCAGCCAGGCAGCAGATAGGCAAGTGTGGAGACTCAGATAAGACCTGGTGCTTGGTTGTGCACAGAATGGGCAACTTCACCAATGCCCTAGCTGGCTTGCCACGGGCTTTAAAAGAGGCTGGAATCTACTCCATGTGGGGAAAAAGAAAAATAAATCATTGCCACCAAACTTGATGATGACTGTATACTTTACACTGTTATTGACATCTTGAACACATGATATCATTTCCTCCACCTGTCTGCTCTATACGATTGTGCTATTAGGCTCTCCACTTTGCAAATTAGAAACCTAAGGATGAACCAGGTCACCTCAGCTCTCCCAAGAAATGTGAGTGGCCACAATTTACAGCCAGAGCCCTGCATCTTTTGAGCAATTCCAACCAACAACAGAATCCATGTGTGCACTTCAATATTTCTGGTTCCCATATAAGGAGTAAAAATAAAATGATAAAATGAATTTTAATAATATATCATATTTGGCTAGTATCTTAAAAATACTATGATTTCAACATATACTTGGTATAATATGTTATCAAATGAGGGGTGTGTGTGTGTGTGTGTGCACTGGTACTGAGGTTTGAACTCAGGGTCTGGGTGCTGTCCCTAGCTTTTTAACTCAAGTTTGGTATTCTACTATTGAGCCACAGCTCCAATTTTGGCTTTTTTCTTGGTTAATTGGAGATGAGTCTCATGGTCCTTCCTGTCAGGCTGGCATTGAACCTTAATCCTCCGATATCAGCCTTCTGAGTAGTTACAATTACAGACAAGAGCCACCAGTGGCAGGCTCAAATGAGATAGGTTTCAGTTCTTTTCATTCATACCAAGACTTTTAAACTCGTCTGTATTTCACATATACAGTACCCCTCAACCCGAACTGACCACATTTCTTTTATTTTTCAGGTCTAAGACGAGGACTCAAATCCAGTACTTGATACTTTTGCTCATTGGCTAGTACTCTGCCAACTGAGCCACGCCTCCTACCCCAAACTAACCACATCTCAATGCACAGTAGCCACACATGGATGGTGGCTCACCCATGGACAATGTTGCTCCAGGGCTGTGGTCTTGGCCAAGATGATGGGTGTGGGTAGGAAGGAAGTGGTGTGAAAAGGTGCATGGACAGAGTGGTAAGATGAGCCTTCAGTGGGAATATGGAAGGAAGGACCTGATCTTCTCGGCGGGTGCAGGTAGGTGGATGGAGAACATGGCTGTTTGACCTCTGCTGAGTGTTGGCATGTGGGAAGGGCACTAAGACATGCATTGTCTCCAGTCTTGCAGTTGTCAATCAAGGTCTGTGAACTTTGGAAAGTTGCTTTGTCTTTCAGTTTTCATCTCCTTCTCTGTAAAATTCAGGTAAAACCACCTTCTCAGAGATTGTTATCAGAATTCTATACAATAATACCAAAGTAGTAAATCCTGTGTAATGTGATCAGATCTGCTTACCTTTTTATTTTTTTGTTATTTTTTTAAATTTAATTTTATTTTATTTGTGAACATACTGTACAGAGGGGTTACAATTACATGGGCAGGATAATGCGTACATTTCTTACCAAGCATTGCAGCCTCCTCCTTTGTTTACCCTTCACATCCCTTCCCAGCCTCCCCCCTCCCCCCCAATCCCAATCCTTCTCCTTCCTCCCCCTCCCCCCCCCCCCCCCCCCCCCGCACCGACGTTGTAAAGCTCGTTTTGGACATGACAACTTGTACTTCTCATTGTTGCAACAGGTCCACCTGTATCCTTAAACAACTGGTTTTTCCCCATCTCCTCCACAAGTTATACTGACATCAAATATAGTGAAAGCAGGGGTTATACTGTGGGGGAGGGACATACAACTGCTTACCTTTTTAACTAATTTAACTAAAGCCTAAAACTCTTTAGGTTTTCTGAAATGTGTTAATAGTTACATTATTTTTTTTCTTGCTTGCAATGAAACAAACTGGGACTGGAGGCATAGTTCAAATGGGTGAGCACTAGCCATGAGTGAACAAGCCAAATGAGAACACAAGGCCCTGAGTTCAAGCCCCAGTACTGGCACACACAAAAATGATTAATCAATTGGTTGATTAAATTTCATGAAAAATTAAGTTGAAACCCAATGTTATCCAAGCGCCAAGGAACAGTGATCCTCAGAGATGGGGTAGTTAGAAGTACAGGAAAAGTAAAAAGGAAAACTTCAAGTCAGTCTACCAATGTCTCAACTGAGTCATTTCAGCTGCCCGGAAATCAGTGAGCTCATTCTCCAAGGCTGGACTTTGACGGGGGCAGGCACACCCCATATCTAGAGCTTTATGGCCTCTACCTGCTCATTGTTTCAGGAAGCAGCAATTCCCTCCCAGTGCTTCTCACTCTAGTACAGTCAAGAGATTCCAAGAAACTCCTTCTCCCAGTGATCTCATGGGGCTCCCCATGACACCGGAAGGGGACAGGAATGAGGGTGCACACCTGGCTGTCGCTGGGAAAGGCTGCACGGTTGCGGGTGTCCTGGAGTTTGGACCCGTTTAGCTGATGGGTGGTGGCCAAAGGGTTCTGGGGAGCTGAAGAGGCAGGGCCAGGTGGCTTCTCTCCCTGGTGGCATTCCTGCCTGTCTTTCATTCTTGTACAAGTGTGCTGCCGTGACTCATGTACAAGTGACTCAATTTCAGGCAAAGGAATTCCTGTGGACGGAGGCAGAGGACGGCGCCCGCACCGGCTGGGGACGGCTGCGTGATGCCCTCAACTCCATGCATGCAGGTGGTGGGCCAGGGAGCCGCCTGTCCTGTGTGCAGGGGGACCCTGCATGATGTGGTGACCGCCAGCTGTGGACACGCTTGCTGCCGGCTCTGCCTCTCGCCCTCGGCCCAGATGGGGGCCCAGCCATCGAGAAGGCTCCTGCTCTGCCCTGTGTGCCAGGGGGAAGAGCAGACAGACCCCATGAAGGTTCCAGTACCCCTGGGCCCTCTGAGGGAGATGTACTGTGAGGAGCACGGGGAGAAGATCTACTTCTTCTGCGAGAACGATGCTGAGTTCCTCTGTGTGCTCTGCCGGGAGAGTCCCTCTCATCAGGCCCACACCGTGGGGATCCTGGATGAGGCCATTCAGCCCTACCGGGTAAGCTGGCAGGGGCCTGTTAGGGGGCAGGATGGTAGCTTGTGGAGGTTGGGGGACCAGCCTGTGATGTGCTTTCTAAGGCTGAAGAGTCCTCTGTGTTCCTATCTCCCTGTGCATACCTTGATTAAGAATTGTCTTGTTTGTGGGCACCTGTGGCTCACACCTGTAATCCTACCTACTCAGGAGGCCTGAGATCTGAGGATCACTGTTCAAAGCCAGAAAGTCCATGATACTCTAGTCTCCAGTTAACCACCAAAAAACCAGAAGTGGAGCTGTGGCTCAAGTGGTAGAGTGTTTAGCCTTAAGCTGAAGAGTGCAGGGACAGCACCCAAGCCTACCAAAAAAAAAAAAAGTCTTGTCTATCTACCTAACACCAACTCCTGCCTGTCCTCTTTGGGGACAAGGTCTAGACTTTTTTTTTTTTTTTTTTTTTGGTTAGTCGTGGGACCTGAACTCAGGGCCTAGGCCCTGTCCCTGAGCAATCTTTTGCTCAAGGCTAGCACTCTACCACTTAAACCACAGCACCACTTCTGGCTCTTTCTGTTTAAGTGGTACTGAGCAATCAAACCCAGGGCTTCAGGCATGCTAGGCAAGCACTCTACCACTAAGCCACATTCCCACCCCACCCCCTTTTTTTTCCAGTCATGGGGCTTGAATTCAGGGCCTGGGAACTTGTTCCTGAGCTCTTTTTTGCTCAAGGCTAGCACTCTACTACTTTGAACCACTTCTGGTTTTCTAGTAATTAATTGGAGATAAAAGTCTCATGGACTTTCCTGCCCAGGCTGGCTTTGAACCACCATCCTCACATGTCAGCCTCCTAAGTAACTAGGATTACAGGATTGAGCCACCAGCACCCAGCTAACTACTAGCTTTGGTCACCTACAAAGCCCTTAGCACTCAGTGGTGAGCAAGGAATACAACATACAATATTTGTGATTTGGATTATTAACTGATCCACCTTTCTCTGCCTCTTCTCTCCACAGGATCGTCTCAAGAGTCGACTAGAATCTCTGAGCACCGAGAGGGAGAAGATAGAAGACATAAAGTGTCAAGAAAACCAGAAGATCCAAATGCTTCTGGTAAGGCCCACACACTGAGTACTATCACCTCTTGGGGTTTTCTTAGCCACCTGGGGAAGTCTGTTAGTTTATACCTATTGCCTGGCTGAAAAGAACTGGCAAACTATTCTCATTCCTGCTTCCAGATGAAGGTTTTTTGCAACGCCAGAACTTCAGGCCTGGAAGTGGTTCTGACAACTTCTAATCTAAGATACATGTACCCAGTCCTTCACAGAGTGAAAAACTAAGGCTGGGCCTCGCTAGCTCATGCCTGTAATTCTAGCTACTCAGGACACTGAGATCTGAGGATCGTGATTTGAAGCCAGCCCAGGGAAAGAAGTCCCTGTGAGACTCATATATCCAATTAACCCCCAGAAAAAGACAGAAGTAGCACTGTGGCTCACAGTGATAGAGTGCTAGCCCTGAGCAAAGAAGCTCAAGGACAATGCCCAGACCCTGTGTTCAAGCCCCATGACCAAAACAAAAAAATAATAACTGAGATCCAGGAAAGTGATATACCCAAAGCCACTTCGTGTTAAAGTTATTAGAATGTGGGTCTCTTGATCTCAATGGACTCAGGCCCATTATTCTTTCCCCAATGTGTCTGCCTAGAGAGACCATCTATCTATAGCCTGGAAGTGTGGGGTCACAAGATGTAGATTAGTATCTGTTTCTAGTCTTGACTATAAAGCTGACCCTGTGGACAGCAGGCTATAATGTAGTTCTATCTGGCTCCTTCCCATCTTGTTTTTCCTGATGCAAGATTATCAAGGAGAAAAATCCAGTGTTGGAATTTCTGGCACTTTGACCAAGGAGACAAAGCCTCAGGACAGAAAGTTCTCCCTGGTGTTTCTCCACTGCCATCAAAGATGCCTTGTAGATGTTGACTTTGGTGCCTAAAACGAAGGTCCCGCACTCCTTCAGCCTGTCTCTAATCACAACTTCCTTTTGCCTGAATCGTTCTCTAAAAATATTACTATAGTCCTGTCTGCCTAACTCTAAAGAGATACAGTAGGGCATTGAGAAGATGGAAGGAATTTTTTACATTTCAACATGCCTTGAAGAGCACAAAATGGCATTATTATTATTTTACCTAAGATAATAGTATAGACCTTGTCACTGATAATCTCAAGACATCAAATTCTACCAAAGTACAATTTAGAAGAATGAGTTTAGAATTACATACTCTCAGCCCCAGTGGCTCACACTGTAATTCTAGCTACTCCGAGGGCTGAGATCTGAGGAGTATGGTTTGAAGCCAACCTGGACAGGAAAGGCCCTGAGCCTCTTATCTCCAATTAACCACCAGAAAAAGCCAGAAGTAGGACTGTGGCTCAACTGGTAGAGTGCTAGCCTTGAACAAAAAGGAGCCCAGGGCAGTGCCCAGGCTCAAAGCTCAACCCCTAGGATTGGCAAAAAAGAAAAAGAAAGAAAGAAAGAAAAGGAAAAAGAAAAGAAAAAGAATTATATACTTTCTGAGCATAGAGAGAAACAAGATAAAAGACATTAAGTGTTAGAATACCAGAAGATCCAAGTGCTTGTGATCAAACCTTCATGCTTGGCCACTCTCCTTTGGGAGTTTTCTTATACTTTGTAATAAGTACACAGATGATTCTTCTGAAAGCCAGCTCTGTGAACCTCTCTCTAACCATGTCCCCAACCTTTTTTTCCCTATCCCTGCAGACTTATATTGAAAGCAAGAAGCAATGGGTAGAAGCAACTTTTAAGAGGCTGCAGCAGGAGCTGGAGACCCAGCAGCATTTCCTGCTGGTCAGGCTGAGGGAGCTGGAGCTGGAGATCTGGAAAGAGAGGGGTGAATACATCGCAAAGATCTCTGAGGAGGCCCACAGGCTTGAAGTCCAGGTGGAGGAGCTGGAGGAGAAGTGTCGGCAGCCAGCAAGTGAACTTCTGCAAGTGAGACACCACTCTCCCCCATAGGAGAACAGAAGGGTTCCACGGGAAATGGGTGCTGTACTATGGGCTGGAAGACACTGAAAGAGGCAGGAAAAGAAAGAGATTATCTCTAATGGGAGGGATAAATGGCTGTCTGCCTCTGGTCTAAAGAAATTTGCCCAGGGCATACATTGTTGGGGTCACACAATCTTGGATTTTCCAAGTATTGGTTCTTAAAATTGTGTCACTTGGATGAGTGTCTTAACCTCAAAGAATGGAGATAAGCATAGCATCTCCTTATGGGGTTGTTTCAAACAATGCATGCAAAATGTTTACTTGGGCCCTGGGCATGCAGGAAGAATTCCATAAATGGGGCTTGTTGTGGTTATAGGAATCTTGTCTGGGAACTCAGTCTGGTCCCTGCTGTCTGCCATCTTGTAATCATTGGAAGCAAAACCCTCCTCCAGTGTAAGGCTGAGACAGGGAAAGCAATGGAAAGTGACTGAGTCCTTCTTAAGCCAAGGAACATGACAAAAGAGTTCAATGAGTAATTACATAGATTCTACTCGTTGAGCAAGGAGCGCTTTCAGCTGACATTTTAGGGAAGACAGGATGCTCTGAGTCCCTGTCAGGAAGGACATGTGGAAACTAAGTACATGTTCTTGTCTTTCTTTTGTAGGATTTCAGAATCAACCAGAGCAGGTAGGACCCACACCCCAGTTCTGACCTTCTTTATGTGAGATACTAAGTCAATCACTGACCACTACTCAGAAAGAAAGCACTCTGACAGACCCATGGGCAACTGAGTCACCCAATAACAATTCCAACTTTCAAAGGTTTGTGTTCCAAAGATGCACTTCTGAACTGATGGGTTGGAATTGGGGGCATCTTTTTCCCTCCTTGAAGTGAAAGTTTGAATAATAGTCATGGTTTTTAGACTGATCTAGGAACATCTGTAATCCATGAAATTATTTGTGTGTCAGTACCTAATACCATTTGCAATGTAACTCGAAGGGGGAAGCATTTAGTGTATGAATCCGGTATCCATGAACCAGGAAGTATCTCTAAACTGACTTTTTAAACTGTGAGAGATTAAGTTCTGCGGAGACCCGGGGGTAAATTGGTTGTACATTCATACAGACAAGAACTAGTGAGGATTGAGTTAGGATCAAAATTGAGGGCTTTTCACTACAATGTATATTTTCTTTCATTTCCTTTTTTTCCCTCTGAGGTGAGGGGCTTGAATTCAGGGCCTGGGGGCTATCCTTGAGCTCTTTTTTTTGCTCAAGGCTAGCATTCTACCATTTTGAGGTTTGTTTTCTTGTTGGTCATTGGGTTTGAACTCAGGACTTGGGCCCTGTCTCTGAGCTCTTCTGCTCAAGGCTAGTACTCTATCATATTGAGCCACAGCTCCACTTCTGATTTTCTGGTGGTTAATTGGAGATAAGTGTCTTATGGACCTTCCTGCCAGGGGTGGTTTTGAACTGCAATCCTCAGATCTCAGCCTCCTGAGTACCTAAGATTACAGGCGTGAGCCACCAGCGCTGGGCTTCCTTTCTTTTCTTCTTTCCTAGCCCCTTTCAGTTAATTGTACCAGCTCATGAACTAGAAATCCGTTTAGGCTGTTTTTCAAATGCTACCATACTGCCCTCTAGTGGCCAATATTGGTAATGATCTCGCTCTGAGAGGTGCAACCAATCTCCAGTTCCATAAAATATAAAGAAATAGTATTCAATAATAGCAAGACCACTCTTAACTCTTGATTGTATGAATCAAGTATTGCTTTTTGAATCAGGACCTAACCCATTATCATACGGATCTATAGGTGTGAAGTGAAGACTTTTGTTAATCCAGACACGATTTCTTCTGACCTTATTAAGAAGATCCGAGACATCCACAGGAAAACACTCATCCTTCCAGAAATGATGAGGATTTTTTCAGGTAATGGAATGGGCTGCAGCGCCCAACTCCCAGTAGTTGGGAGTGTGGTGGCAAATGAGCACTTGGGAGACTGAAGCAGGAGGATAGCGAGTTCAAGGCAAACCTTGGGTACATTGCAAGACTCTCAAACAACAACAAAACCTGGTTTTAAGCACCTTCTCTCTCCAAACCTTCCATGGTAACCCCATTATATTCAGGGGAGCATTCCACAGACTATATCTTTTTTGTTGTTGTTAATCGTGGGGCTTGAACTCTGGGCTTGGGCACTGTCCTTGTACTCTTCAGCTCAAGGCTAGCACACTACCGCTTAAGCCACAAAGCCACTTCTAGTTTTCTAGTGTTTTACTGGAGATAAGAGTCTCACAGACTTTCCTGCCTGGGCTGGCTTTGAACCTCGATCCTCAGATCTCAGCCTCCTGAGTAAATAGGATTACAGGTGTGAGCCACTGGCACCCAGCTCTCAGAGCACATCTTTTTCTCCTCAAGGACAGTTACTGGACTGAGAGTCCAGTAAAGTGAACCTTACTTCTCACATCTATGACCTTACATTGTGACCAGGATACCCTCCCCTTGTGAGTGCCTGTACAAAACACTAAGTCAACCTGGCATGGTGGCTCAAGCTTGTAATCCTAGCTAGTTAGGAGGTAGCAATTGGAGGGTCCAGACAAAGAGAAGTTTATCTCAGCTACCCCAACTACAGAGAGAAGCATAATGGCTGGGTGCAGTGTGAGCATTTATTAACCCCAGGAAGCACAAGTGGAAGAATGGAAGCCTGGGGGGTGGGGCACTTTGTGCCCAAAAATAAATAAAGTGCTCATACCTCAAAAATAACCAGTGTCAAAGGGGGCTGGAGGTGTGTGGCTCAAGTGGTAGAACACCTGCCTAGCAAGTGAGAATCCCCAAGTTCAAGCCTCAGTAATCCCCCTCCAAAAGAAAAATGCCATACATCTTTCTGTTTCCCTTTAGAAAACCTGGTGCATCACCTGGAAACAGACTCAGGTAAACAGCAAAGGGCTTGGGGGTGGGGGTGGCGTCTTCCACTCATCCATTTACTCTATGGGAGCAAATAGCAAATCAAGTGCATGTGTCCCACACCCTGAGCACTCGGGTTGTCAGTTCAAGCTCTTGCTAGCTGAGACTGCTTGGAAGTTTCATCTATAAAATGAACAGAATAACAGTTCCTGCCCTAATTAACATGGGGCAGAGTATAGTATAGTCTCCTTTTTTTAAAAAAAAAATATTTATGTTTAGTCAGTTGTGGAGCTTGAACTCTGGGCCTGGGCGTTGTCCCTCAGCTCTTCTGCTGAAGGCAAGCACTCTACCACTGGAGCCACAGCACCACTTCCCATTTTCCAGTGGTTAATTGGAGATAAGAGTCGCAATGGACTTTCCTACCTGGGCTGGCTTTGAACTGTGATCCTCAGATCTCAGCCTCCTGAGTAGTTAGGATTACAGGTGTGAGCCACCAGTGCTCAGCAAAAGCAATTAATTTTAAGCTAAGTTTAATTTGGACCTTGTTTTCAGTCTCTTATATTAAACCGGTGCTTCTCAAACTTTAATGTGCAGAAAAGGATCTCAAGTTTAACTGCAAAAACTGGTTCAGTTGGTGCGTGGTAGGGTCCATGATTATGTTTCCAGCAAGTTCCCAGGGGTGGCTGCTGCTTCTGCTGGTGATAGTCCTCCCCCCTATCCTCCCCCCACCCTCCGCCCCCCCCCACACACACACTTTGGAGAGCAAATCTTACAGCACCTCTTGCCAGTCAGGTAGAGAGAGTTATCATTGTCCACTTGGAGCAGATGGAGAAACTGAGGTTCGGAAGAGCAGGCCGCCCAGGCCCGGTGTTCCTCCTGCCTTTCTGGTTGCTTCCAGCTCTCCTCTCTCTAGGGATCATCACTCTGGACCCTGAGACGGCCAGCCCGAGCCTGGTGCTCTCTGAGGACAGAAAATCAGGGAGATACACGCGGCGGAAGCGGACGCTGCCGGACAGCCCCCTGCGCTTCGACGGCCTCCCGGCGGTGCTGGGGTCGCCGGGCTTCACCTCGGGGCGCCACCGCTGGCAGGTGGAGGTGCAGCTGGGCAAGGGCGGCGGCTGCGCGGTGGGGGTGGCGGTGGAGGAGGTGGGGAGGAAGGGGGAGGTGGGCCTGAGCGCCGACCAGGGTGTCTGGGCGGTCATCCTCTCGCACCAGCAGTGCTGGGCCAGCACCTCCCCGCGCACCGACCTGATGCTGGGCGACATCCCAGGCTGCGTGGACGTCACCCTGGACTATGAGAAGGGCCTGGTGAGCCTCCTCGACGCCGACACCCAACGGCTCCTCTTCACCTTCACGGCCGCTTTCTGCAGCACCATCTTCCCTTTCTTTGCTGTCTGGAAAAAAGGCTCACGCCTTACTCTGAAAGGCTGAGGTTGGAGCTTGCCAAGTGGGGGCCCGGGGAGCCCAGCTCCAAGCTGCACCCCCATGTGCCCTCATGAGGCCTGTGGACCTGAGAACCTCGAATCTTTGGAGCTGGAGGGGGAGAGGGGTAGGGGGTGTTTGTTTTTAACTTGTATTATAAAGCTGCTGTATAGAGGGGTGACAGTTACCTAAATCAGGTGATGAGTACGTTTCTTTTTGGACAATGTCACCCCCTTCCTTTGCTCTCTCCCAGTTTTTCCCTCCCTTCTCCACCCGCAAGTTATGTAGTTCGCTTTCAACCTAGTGTCTAGGGAGTACCACTGCTGCATTTGTTCACCCTTTGTCTCTCCATGTCTGTGCCCTCCTTACCCTCCCAAAGACAGATAAAGGAACAAACAAGATAAAAAAGAAAACAAAAATAGCAACAAAGGAAAAAAAAACACCTCTTGTCTCCATTTTCTGGCTGGACCTGGCTTCTACCTTGCTTACGCTGTGCCTTTCAGCTGGCTGGTGCCCGATCCTCCCCGTGGAGGAAGAACCAGAGGCAGGAACGGCTGTGCACAACTCCCAGCAAAAGCTGGGATTGTGAGGATTGAGTGCAAAGGGAAACAACTAAAATAAAAGGGGCAAAGCTCCAACGCAGTCATCATGGGAAAAACCAGGAGTTTGTTGGGCTTAGGTTAATTTACACAGTTGACTTTTTGTTTCAACACACAGCTAGAAATGCCCTCAATTACCCAGAAGGTTCTGGGCCCCTTCAAAAGCTCTAGATAGATCAACACCCCTCCCCCCTTAGGGCATTGTCCAGACTTGTAGAGAATGCCTGTGTGTGTGTGTGTGTGTGTGTGTGTGTGTGTGTGTGTGTGTGTGTGAACGCGCGTGCGTGCTGGTCCTGGGGCTTAGAAGACACAGAAGCCAATTATTCTAATCATAACAATAAAGCCACTGCCACAGTATCATCCCCTCACCAGACTCTGTAGAGATCTGAGTAAGCAAAAGACTCGAAGCACTATACAGAATGTAACAGTGAGTACAAGTCACTGGTTCTGCCCATGTCTTTGACTCTGGGAAAATTGTGCCATCTGCCTGGAAAGCAATGATTTCACACCTTTGTGGTCAGTTGTGAAATGCATAGAATCTAGAAGCTGGAAGATCTTGGTTCAAATCCTCACTTCAGTTGTGTTAGTTTAGATTTAATCTCCCTGAGCCTCTAGATTACTGATCTGAAAACTGGGCATGAACTCAGGGCCTGGGCACTGTGCCTGAGCTTTTCTGCTCAGGGCTAGCACTCTATCACTTTGAGCCACTTGACCCTACCTTCAGATTGTTCAAAGGAGTGAATGAGACCACCTGTGTAAGGTGCCTGACCATGCAGGTACTGTGAATAGGGGTGAGCCTACACTGGCTCTTAGATCCAGGTTCCTATCTGTAGGCAAATCATATCTTTCTTAGGATTTTGTGTGCCCTAAGGGCACAAAAGCCAACTGAAACAGAAATTTTAAGTAATAATGGACTGCTTCCAATAAAGAGAAAGGGCAACTTCTTTTTCTTCCTACCTATCCTGGGTGGGGCTTGAACTCAGGGCCTGGACACTTGTGTTAAGCCTCTTTGTGCTCAAGGCTAGTGTTCTACCACTTGAGCCACAGTGCCACTTCCAGCTTCTCCTGAGTAGTTTGTTGGAGGTAAGAGTCTCATGGACCCTTTCCTGAGTGGGCTGGCTTTGAACCATGATCCTCAGATCTTAGCCTCCTGAGTAGCTAGGATTACAGGCGTGAGCCACTGGCACTCAGCTATTTTCAGTAGGTGTTCCTGTTTTACTAGTTCTTTCATAAACAGTATAGCTAAAGGTTTTTGTTGATAGTGGTGATTTCTTCTCCAAACAAGGAGCCAGTGTCTTCTCTGAACTCTGAGATCATCCTGTTTGTATCCACTGTGTAGATCAGTGTGTTTCTATCACAGTTTTATGACTTCTCATCCTTTTTCTGTGCCCCCTCCCCTTTTTAATACTGGGGTTTGAACTCCAAGCCTTGAACCTTATGCTTGCTAGGCAGGTGCTCTACCACTTAAGCCATACATCCCCATCTCTTTTTTTCGTTATTTTTCAAGTCTTTTGTTTTTGTCCAGGGCATGATTATCCTCTCTGCCTCCCATGTGGCTGGGATTATAGCCAACAAGCACTACATTTATCTTGTTGGTTGAGGTCATTTTTTTCTTGGTTGAGGGGCTTGAACTTAGGGCCTGGGTGCTGTCCCTAAGCCTCTTTGTGCTCAAGGCTAGTGCTCTACCATTTAAGTCAGAGTGCCACCTCTGGTTTTTGAGTGATTTATTGGAGATGAGAATCTCACAGGGACTTTCTGCTTGGGCTGGTTTTGATCTGTGATCCTCAGATCCCAGCCTCCTGAGGTGCTACATTTACAGGCCACTGGTACCTGGCGAGAAGCTCAAGGACAGTGTCTGGCCTTGAATTCAAGCCCCAGGATCAGCAAATATATATATATATATATATACACACACACACACATATATATATACATACATATATATATATGCATATATAAGAACACATACACACACATATACTATGCAATGATCACGAAAGGAAAGTTGATGTAAACATGTCAGTATCAGAAAAAAAAATTTTTTTTGATGGGACTTAAACTGGGGGCCTTGAGCTTTTCTGCTCAAGGCTAACCCTCTACACTTTGAACCACAACTCCACTTCCAGTTCTCTGGAGTCTCACAGACTTTCCTGCCTGGGCTGGCTTTGGCTTGCAATCCTCAGATCTTAGCCTCCTGAGTAGCTAGGATTATGGTTCTGAGCCACCAGCACCCAGCTGAGAAAATATACTTTAATGAGAGAATTATGAGTAGGCTAGAGAAATAGGGATTCACATTCTGGTAAAACTTATCTGCAAGTTGAGGTAACTACATCGTCACAAAAAATATTCTTTAATGAAAGAAGTATTAAGAAAAAGGACACATTATGATAAAAGGAACACATTTTTTTCTGGAACTGGAAACAATTCTAAGCTTTAATCAATCTAGCAATTCATTAAGTTACAAAAATAACTGGAGCCAAGCACCCATGGCTCACTCATGTACTACTAGGTACTCAAGAGGCTAGTAGTTCAAAGCCACCCCAGGTAGAAAAAGTCTATGAGACTCCAATTAACCAGCAAACAGCTAGAATGGAGCTCTAGCTCAAGTGGTAAAGTGCTATCCTTGAGCAAAAAAGGCTCAGGGACAATGGTCCCAGGCTCTGAGTTCAAGCTCCAGTACTGGCATCCAAAAAAAAGAATATAACATTTTAGTTACACTTCTTTCTGGTTGGTTGTGAGTCAAACTCTGGGCCTGGGCACTGTCATTCAACTTTTCAGCTCAAGGCGAGCACTCTACCTCTTGAGCCACAGTGCCACTTCTGGTTTTCTAGTGGTCTATTGGAGATGAGAGTCTCACAGACTTTCCTTCCTGGGCTGGCTTTGAACCGTGATCCTCAGATCTCAGCCTCCTAAGTAGCTAGGATTACAGGCCTGAGCCACCAGCGCCTGGCTTAGTCACACATTTTTTAATTCAGATTTGCCTATCACTTATTCATACTTTGTGACAAAATGCTAATATAAAGTACTAGAACCATGAAACAAAATTCTAATAAAAATAGAGCATATTTGCATAGTAACAAGATTCATCTCATGCATATAACCTAGAACCTTGAACTTTTAACATATTGGAAAATGTCTTGTTGAAAAGGACCAAGACATGGGTACAAAAGCAAAACCATCAATACTGCTATCAAAGTAAAACATTCCATGCACCATATTGATGGCTTCAAGATTCCTTCTGCCATATGTTGTTTTAAAGAAAGACCGCTCTTTTATCTTGCCATCGACCAGCAGAATTCCTGTGCCTAGTCGTGGGAAAGCCAGCCCCACTAAGTTGCAGTTGTTCATCAAAGGAGGTCAGGAAGCAGTGAGCCATGTTGCCTGAGCTAGCATGTTCTCGGTGTCCTGCCAAGAGCACTAAGAACACTACTAGTTCAGGTACAGTATAGTGACAACTTGTGACTATAACCCACCCTGTTCTTACAAATGTTATTTATGACAGAAGATCCTTTCAAGATTCTTCAACTGGGGCTGGGAAGGTGGCTCAGTGGTAGAGTGTTTGCCTTGCATTCATGAGGCCCTGGGTTTGATTCCTCAGTACCACATAAGAAAAAGCCGGAAGTGGCACTGTGGCTCAAGTGGTTGAGCGCTAGCCTTGAGGTGAAGAGCTGAGGGACAGTGCCCAGGCTGAGTTCAGGTCCCATGACCAGCAAAAAAAAAAAGATTCTTCAACCTCAGATATTGACAATGTGATAATCTGGTAAAATTTCTCCAAAATGTTAAACTGCTTTGTTAAAAAATGTGTCCTTGCTTGGTAATAACTGCTCTGGTGATACCTGAATGAACTGTTTTCTTATCACATATTGGTAAAACTTCTTGTTCAGTCAGCTTCGAAAAGCACCAATTTCCCTCCCTCTGTCATGTTGACAAAGCCTTTCACCAAGACTGACCAGGAAAAAGTAAAAATTACAAGTAAACATTCATCTCTCCAGTCTGTTCATTAAACAAGTCTTTATTGAGCACCTACTCTGCGCCCAGCACTGCACTAGGTGCCTTGGAGAATACAAGTATTAAGAGATGGCATCCACCTTCCAGGAGCTTACAAAACTAGAGGCAGAAGTAAGATGTATGTGGGACTCAGGCAGCATGTGATATATACAACGTGGGCAACTCCGGGACAGTGTGGTGGCTAAGATACCACCCAGATGCAGAGTGGCTGGGAGCAGTCTCTCAGAGCAGGGGGGAGGAGTCAAAACTTGGATAAACAGGAAACAGGTAGAACAACTGGAATGGATAAGGACAAAAACCGGGACCTGACTTTGGCTGGAGCAGGAGCCTGTGTTCAACTGTGTCACTACAGGTGACTGGATTGGTCTGGGATGGGGGTTGGACCCACAGGCAGTACAAAGACACTTGAGATCTTTCCTGACATGAAGATCGAGGGCCCTGTTGTCGACTCCTCTGCCTTCCTTCCCTCTCCTAAAAAAGAGCCCGGCCACTGAAGAGGGCTGGTGGCAGAAGTCCTGGAGATACTGATCAGATCCTCCAAGGCAGAAGAGATTTTACTCACCTGGGTATCTGACCTGGTGTTTTTAGATTCCCAGGTTGAGTGATACGTCACAAAGACTAATCTGCAGAGGGAATGTTTTATAGATTGCATATTACCCCCCCAAGTCACATATATCTAGATCCTTCCTCTAAAACCACAGGTAGCTACAGAGAACCCCACCTCATGACCTGTGGCAATCTTGCGACGCTCATGAGCTTCATCAAATAATCCCCATTGGCTCCAGGTGGTCAACTGAAATGTCACGGGAGCCTCAGTGGATTTGCAGTCAGTATTTCCAGCATCATGTAGCATCTAGTTGAGTTAGGGTAAGAGGAGGTCTGCTTAAAATGGAAGATTGGCAAGAGTAAATTCAAGCAAGGGGAACCTATAGGGGGGTCTGAAAACAGCAAACAGCCTCAGGTATAAGCAATCCTCATTTCCCAGGCCAGCTGGCACAGAATGCCACATTGAACCAGAAAATGCTGCCTCAGCTCCTTATTCCACCACGCGAGCTGGGGCAAAGGGTGGTCCGGCATGAGGAAGGGAGTTCTCATGGTCTTCAGGGGCAGAAGGTCCCATGGAAACCAGCAGGGTGGGGAAGAGCCCAATTAGGGCAGTACAACAGCACTGAGTGAGGCTCGAACCACCGCCATGGGGAGGTAGGTGACAGTGGATTTGGGTCCTTCGTCTCCCCTGCTCCAGGGGCTCGAACCAGGCACCACTTCTCCATCACAGAGTCCTGGAAGCCCATAGAAGTAAAGCTTCTTTGGGTGTGGGGCCCAGGCTAGTGCTGGGACTTAAGGTCTCAGAAGGAGACGTGTTCCTGGCCACTTGAGCCACAGGAAGGGGACCAGCCGGCGGGTGAAGGTGGTGGTAAACGTGTAGATGAGTTCCTGTGACTCTGCATTAGTGAAAGTCACGGTGCCTCCTTCGTAATCCAGGGCGATGCCCACTCTCCGGGGCCGCAGCGCTGGGAAAAGTTGGGCCTCGGGGCTGGTGTTGGCCCAGATGCCTGAAGAGGAGAGGCGCAGCGCCCACACACCATCCTCTGGCCGCAGGGAGAGGTCTCCCTTTCTCTTCACAGTGTCTCTGGCCACCCCCACCATGCAGCTTTCCAGAACTTCCTCCTCTTCTTCCTCCTCCTCTTCTTCTTCATCTCCCAACGATTCCTCATCTTCGTCTGTTTCCCACTCATCGTATCCGTCCTCGTAGCCAGCTTCCTCTTCTTCCTCCTCCTCTTCTTCTTCATCTCCCAACGATTCCTCATCTTCGTCTGTTTCCCACTCATCGTATCCGTCCTCGTAGCCAGCTTCCTCTTCTTCCTCCTCCTCCTCCCCTTGCTCCTCCTCCTCTCCATCATCTTCATCCTCAGACCAGCCCTCCCTTTCCACCTCCACTTCCCAGTACACCTTGCCCCAGGTGAAGCCCTTACTGCCTAGCACCCCTGGCTCACAATCAAACTGTTGGGGATACAGGGAGGAGCCCTGGTACAGGCTGGTGTAGGTCACACATTTCCAGTCTTCTGACAGCTGCAGATACCCGCTGGCTGACTGTGGGTCCAGGGTGACACTTACTGTGGGAACAAGGGAAGAAAGTAAGTGTCACTAGTGAGCTGGAAAGGGTCCCCCGATCTCCGTGGCAAGACTGTCACACTGCAAAAGCCAAGGGATGCTATTTACCTCTTGGACTATGTGACTAATGTCTCTTGGAGCTACGTGGTAGAGCAGAACTGGGAAGCAGATGTTATGGGTACACAGTATGGGGCTCAGCAAGAGACTTCTGGACTTAGGGTGCTACTGCTATTTCTCTCAATATAGGAGCACATAGTCAAGCAATGAGAAGAAACTCAGCCATAGAAAAAGGACAGATGGTATAGGATCAAATAACCAAACATGGTACACAGAAGGGTTGACCATCGAGCAAGTCCATGGAGAGTAGAGGAGGAGAAATGCCAAGTGAGAATTTCTTTAGGGGGACTTTTCTTTATTTGAGGTAAATCTGGGAAGAATATTTATAGACTCACCTGTCTTATATTCCAAGTCTCTCAGCAGCTTTCCTAAGGGGGAAAAAAATAGAAAGGACAGTAGTGACTTTCAAGCCCACCAAATAGTTGCCCACTTTTTACTAGGATGGTATTAAGTACGTGACACAAGGTTCCATCCTGGATGGCAAGGAAGAGGCAGCAACCTCTCTGAAGAGGGAGGTGGGGAAAGAGGACACTGAATAGCCAAGTGGCCTGGTTCTACACGGTGGCCCATCCTGATGGGTGCTTTCCAACCTTACCTTGGAATTGTGTCAGGCCTCGCTGCAGAGAGAGAAGCTTATCCGAGAATTCTCCTGTCTTTCTTTTAACCATGTGAGGGATGGGTTTCCCAATCCAGAACTTCTTCCGTGGATACCTGAGGAGACGGACACATAATAACCTGTGACTAGACTCTTCTTGCTTATCCTCATGACAATTATGAAGATTTAATTAAAGATTCTATCTCCCACTGGATGCCAGTGGCTCACACCTGTAATCCTAGATACTCAGGAAGCTGAGATCTGAGGCTGGTGGTTCAAAGCCAAACCAGGCAGTAAAGTCTGTGAGACTCTTATCTACAATAATTACCACAAAAGCCAGAAGTGGAGCTATAGCTTAAGTGGTAGAGCACTAGCCTTGAGCAAAAGAAGCTCAGGGACAGAGCCCAAACCCTGAGATCAAACCCCAGGACAGGCACAAAGAAAGAATTTTAAAAATAAATAAAAACATAAAACAAGGGGCTGGGAAGGTGGCTCAGTGGTAGAGCGCTTGCCTTGCATGCATGAGGCCCTGGGTTCGATTCCTCAGCACCACATAAGCAAAAATAAAAAAGCCAGAAGTGGTGCTGTGGCTCAAGTGGTAGAGTGCTAGCCTTGAGCTGAAGAGCTGAGGGATAGTGCCCAGGCCCAGAGTTCAGGCCCCACGACCAGACCCCCCCAAAAAATAAATAAAAATAAAACAAGAAAAAGAAAAACAGGGATCCAGTGACAGACTCCATCTATACCAGGTTTCTCCTCTTCCCACCCTGCCCCACATCTCAAGCAAAGACAGTGGGCCCAGGAGCTGGGGTTCTACAGAGCTATGCACAAGGGCAGATCAATCACCAATCTCCAAGGATGTACTCAGGATTAACCAGAGATGTAGGTACCTTTGGCACAGCATTACTCCCCACTCACTAGCATAAACCATGGTCAGGGAGAAGCAACACGATAGGGGAATAAACACAACACACATAGGAAGCTCATTTACCTGTTGACAAAGTCTCTAGTATCCTAGAAGAAAAGAAAACACAAGCATTAATGTGATCAAATAAGACTGCATTTGTACACAATCAACACTGTATTAGAGGGAGGGACACAGCAGTGGACAAAACAAAGGTGGTCCCTCCTAGCGAGCTGACATTCTAGTAAAGCAATGGAGACACAAACAAAGGAAGTATAAGGATAGAAGTAACTAGAGGTAACAGAAGACTCGGCCAAGTAAAGACTGGTAAGAAACGGGAAAGCGAATGGGAAAGGAGGAAGAGCAAGCTCACCGAAGGCATGGGTGGTAGGACTTTTGAATTTTATTCCATGTTAACTAGAAAGCCACCAAAGGGTTAAGCAAGGGAAAGATATGTGTGATTTGCTTTCCATAAGGCTAATAAAGGACTTCTAGAATGTATTCCTCCTTTCTCCTGTTTGATAGTCAAAACTCCTAGAGTTATAACTGGTACTATCCAGAAAACATTTCCCAGGTTCTCTCAATTATATCTGGTCATGTGACTAAGTTCCAGCCAATGGGATGTGAAAAACATCAACCACTTCAATTTCTAGGTTTTGTCCTTTAAGAAAAAATTGCCAGCTCCTCTTTTCTCCTGAATTTTGGACAGTTTTGGTGATGAGGACAACATCCCTAGACACTGGTGGAACAATCAGAAGTAACCCAGCTTCCCTGATGACCTGACAGATGTCTTCAGAAGCCTCTACTTCTGAACTGCTACTAAGACAAAAAATACACTTGCTTTGTTTGAGCTACTATACTGCAGCTGGAATGGAAGAAGAGAGGTCAGTCTAGAAGTGGCTGCTGTAGGCCAGGGAGATGCAGATGGCCGCAACTAGGGTGATGGCAGTAGAGACAGGAGAGAAGCTACACACTCCTAGGATATTTGAGACAGACTCAAGTGGGCTTGCTAGCCAAGGATAATGGGGGACAGGCCATGGCTTGAGCAGGAGGGAGAATGGCAGCACTGTCTATGTGAGGGAAGATAGTGACGGACAGGGTAAGAGGAAGGGGGTTCTTAGGAAATGCTGTTTAGATCCTCTTTTCTGAGTCCAGCCACCACAGTGCTCAATATTAATTGAATTTTTTTCCACTCATTCCACATATCTTTATTAATTATTAATCTTTCCTACATGCCAGGCACTGGTCTAGAAGCTTGGGAGACAGAGGTAAAAAAAAGACACAATTCCCTACCTGTGTAGAGCTGACATCCTAGCAGAGGAAGCAGACAACAAACAACATAACAAATATAATTATGTAGTAAGTGATAAGCACTACGGAAAAAAGAAAACGAGAATAGGGTGAAGGGGGACAAGGAGAGGGAAGCTGATGTCCTTAAGGGGATAAGAACTAGCTGAGCACTTGGTGGCTCACATCTGTAATCCTAGCTACTCAGGGAGGCTGAGATGGAAGGATCATAGTTCAACGCTAGCCCGGGCAGTAAAGTACATGAAATTCTTATTTCCAACTAACTACTCAGAAAAAGCTATAAGTAGTGCTGTGGCTCAAGTGGTAGAGCACTAGCCTTGAGCAAAAAGAGCCTGGTGCTGGTGGCTCACATCTGTAATACTAGCTATTCAGGAGACTGAGATTTGAGGATTGTGGTTTAAAGCCAGCCAGAACAGGAAAGTCCATGAGACTCTTATCTCCAATTAATTATCAGAAAACTGGAAGTAGAACTGTAGCTCAAAGTGGCAGAGCATGAGGCTTGAGCAGAAAAGCTCAGGGACAGCACCCAGGTCCTGAGTTCAAGCCCCAACTGGTCAAAAAAAAAAAAAAAAAAGGCAACTCAAGGACCTAGTCCCTGAGTGTAAGCCCCAGAACTGGCGCACACACATACACACAAAAAAGGCTGAGAACTTAGAAAACAAACGGAATGACCAAAGTGTGGCTGCACAGGACTGTTCTAGAAGCTACAGGAAGAACAGCAGGGCTTTACTGCAGAGTAGACAAGTCAGAGTTATATCCTGCCTTCAGAGGAGTGGCAATCTGCCCCCTGCCCTGATCCCCCGGTCCCCCACCATGCCCAGCCTCTTACCAGCATGAGCTCAGCAGCTGGCTGTCGTGCCTTGCCCTCCAGCTCAGAGATGACCACGGTCAGCCGGGCAAGCTCCCCGACACCCCGGGTCTTGAACTTCTCCCTGCCCTCTGTGAGCAGCTGCTCCAGGGTGGCCAGCTGGTCCAGAAGATGCTGCTCCCGCTTCTTCAGGAACTGGTGTCCCTGCTTAAACTCTGCCACGATGTACTGCCTCTGCTCCTGCAGCTTCTTCTGCAGGAATGGAAAGGAAGAAGGGTGCCTAGGGGTGCAGGAGGCCTCTAGGACCAGGGCTGGCTCTTTCCCTGTGACCCTCACTCATGGGTTATTTAGCCTTTGACATGGGGAAGCCACTGTGTGCTGCTGGTCTACCCTCCTCTTCCCAAAGACTCCATTAGTGTGGTACAGCTCCCTCCACTGTTTCCAGAACCAACTCTGCTGAGGTTGAGTCACTATGGTTCCAGGTGGTTCTGTGTGGGGTTCTGGGATGCTGGCAGGAATCTCCTGCATCATACTCATAAGCCAACATACTTTTCCCCTCCTGGACCACATCTGTGTTGCCCCTTTTCAGTAAGTTTTGCTTCATTGATGTCATCTAAAAACTGGTTAATCTTCCCTTCGGCATCCCATAATACTGCAGAAGCCGATCCTGCTATGTGGGGCAGACTCCTGTCTCCTCAGTAAAACTGGACTGGGATGCTCAGAGATGGTGTCCTTTCCTGCCTCCAAATCCCCCTGCCAAGTCCAGGGTCTGCCTGAATCCTCAGTCTTGCTGACTGATGCTCAATTACAGACACCCATTCACGCCAGGGCTTGAGGGTGCACCTTGGCCTGATAGCTATCTCCAGCTATCTGTCCCCATCTGCCCCTTCCCAGGGCCTAGACCCTATTTGCTGAGTCTGGCCCAAACATTCCTTCATGTGCACTTTCCCTCCAGAAAACTGGAACCATCTTACCCACTCTTTCCCGCCAAAATCCATCACTAATCAAGCACATAAGGCACTGCCTATTTTCCACCTACAGCAACCATGGGCTTGGACGTCACTCCACAATCAAAGCTAATCTCCCTTTCACTCTCAGTTTGGACCTACAGCCGGCTCCCTCCTTCCACACCCTCTAGCTGCCCTCCATTCAGGAAATCAAGTCTTTCCCTTACTTCTTTGAGAGTCAAGTTAGGCCCTCCTTAGTCCTCTGGCAAAAAGATGCACCTGCTACACATGGGCCCTGCAGCTGAAGTGAGTGTCATTGGGGGGCGGGGGTGAGGGGACCAGGACCCTTGCAGTTTGACTACCTACTCATGGGTCAGATGAGAAATAGACCCAAAGCCTAAAGCACACAGCTAGCTCATATAACTAAAAACCCAGGTCCACCAGTTACCAGCCCCACATTCATCCTTCCTTGAGCCATGCCTAGAAATCCCTCCCAGCTGCCATCTATTGCCTGGCTCACCCTGCCCACCCCTGCCCAGGTGAACTATGACCTTAGCAGCCCACTCACCAGCGCGGCCAGGATATCAGCCTCTCCCTTTGCTTGGAAGCCCTGAATTTTGTCTCTGTCTCGCCTTAGGATGCTCAGGTGGTTCAGGATTTTTTCCTGTGGAAAGACAAGCAGTGGAGACAGATGGATGCTCTGAGCAAGGACTCAGCCTGCGTCCTCAGCTAGAAGAACCCTTCAGAGGGGTCTAGGCCAGGCCCCTGGGGGAGTGCAGTCCTGAGGAAGGAGGGCTTACCCTCTGGGGCAGGGCGGCCTTCTCCACGAGGACAGCCGTGTGGGGCCGGTGCTCCCGGGACTCGCGGCACATCACACACAGCAACTTGCCGTCATCCTCGCAGTAGTAGTGCAGTTTCTCATGGTGCCTCTCACACAGCTTCACATCCTGCTGCTCACGGGACGCTTCTCCTGGCTGCCGGCCCTTGTCCACCTTCAGACGCTCAATGTTCTCTACCAGACTGGCCAGCTGCCACACGGGCCGGATGTTCTCCTTCTTGAAAGGCTTCTTACAGAGCGGGCAGACTGGGCGGTTTCCTGAGACAGGGCGGACATCTGTGGTGCAGCTTCGGCAGAAGACATGGCCACAGTCAATGGTCACGGGGTCCCGCAGGTAATCGAGGCAGATGGAACAGGTCACCTCCTCTTCCAGACTGCGCAGTGGGGCCGATGTGGCCATAGTGCCTTAGCTCAAGTTCAAGGGAGGGGGAATGAGGGAGGTCCTCTGTTCACTGGCGGGGTTTCTCCTCCTTGAAAAACCAGACAGGGAGTCAAGTGCAATTAGGAAATCTAGTCCAATCCCCTCATTCCACAGATGAGAAAACTGAGGACTGGAGTGAAGAGGAGGGTGCAGAGCAGGGCTGCCCAGAGCCTATACCTGGCAAGACCCCTTCCTTCTGCTTGCCAAGGAGTTGCTCCAGTGCGCCAATTACAACAGAACGATCAGCCACTGACTCTTGGAAAATGGTTCTAATACATACCCAAATCAGTGTTTACAGGGTGCTTGCTCCTACTCATGCAGTGCACAAACTGTCTGTCCATCTATGGTCCTGACGGAGCCAAAGACTGCATTAGTTTGCTCCTCTTCTTCAGATGTGAAGAACTAAGAGCAGCAAACGTTTTGTTTTGTTTTTTTAAGCCCAAACTCCAAACAAGCACCAAGGGTCTGTATGTTGTTGTCTCCTTTTAGGAGTGTTTCCCAGGGCTATTCTGTGGTTTGGGTTCAATTCACTCCCCCTAGAAAGCTGGACTCTTTAAATTCAACCTATCAGCAGAATCTAGCCTGGTTATACTGGATACATTCTCAGCTCTGAGTCCCCCATTAAGCTAGCCTGGCTGCTCGGCTCTGCTCTGCTGCTCACAAGAGCAGACTGTTCCAATTGAGCTCATGGCGGGGAGGCCAGCCCCGAGGAACGCTCAGTTCAGCCGGCTACAGGGAGGCACAACTCAGTCCACAAAGGACTTGGCTCTTGCTAACCTTTTTCTGACCCATTTCTGACCATGGTTACAAGGCTCCACACAATCTGTCTCCTCTTCCTCCAGCTCTATGACAATAGAGAAGCCATCTTACGTACTTTGAGCCTTGATTTATCCATCCATCAAAGGGGAGAGCCATATTTGCCTTCAAGTTTCTCATCAGGTTATATGAAATAATTATGTCATGCATGCTAAGCCTAAGCCTGTTCCACAAAAGGAAACCTAGAAGACCCCAGACCCTTGACTCCCAAATCTAGCGAGTGTTCAAATCACAGAGTTGAAAGTAATGGCAAGAGAGTAAATAAGCAGAAGCAGCTACAGTACCATATGTGCTCTGGTACACTAGACCTCAGGGTGGGTGGGGGTGGCTGCTCTGCTATCGATGCATGGAAAGGGATTACAGCTCTTGTTTGGAAGGCAGTCAATGGGGCCCAAAGGTAACTGCAAGCTTGAACCACAGGCAACACTATTACTGATAGCACAATGGAGCCCCAATAGAGCTCAGTGGCCCTTGTCAACAGTGACATTAATAACCCAGAAATAAATAGACTTATAAAGTTAGAATATCTATTCTTTTTTGTGTGTGTCAGTTGTTGGGATTGAACTCTGGGCTTGGGCACTGTCCCTGAGCTCTTCAGCTAGCACTCTACCACTTGAGCCACACCACCACTTCTGGTTTTCTGGTGTTTAATTGGAGATGAGTCTCATGGGCTTTCCTACCCAGGCTGGCTTTGAACTGCAATCCATCAGATCTCAGTCTTCTGAGTAGCTAAGATTACAGGTCTGAGCCACTGGCGCCTGGCAAGCATATCTATTCTTTAAGGATCTATTGTGATAATATATAAAAATGCTTTATAAAGAGAAAGTACCATTCAAATGTATGGAATTATTATACTGTTGATAGTAAGTTCCAAATGGAAGCACTCATGGATTTAGATATGTGTGACTTTAAGAGACATAATGAATATGGGGGGGGGGAACACAAAGGAAGGGATCAAGAAATTTAACTGGCAAATGAAGGTAGCATCAAGGCTCAAGAATATCAGAGATGTTAAGCAAGTGTCTGCTCCAGTTTCCTGGTTTTATTTTTGAGGATAAAGGTGGTTCAACAGCTCTTTCACTTAAAAGGATTTGAAAGGAGAAGGAAATGGTTCTGGGTGATTTCTGTGGGCTCTGGTGCTCTTTCCTGCCACTTTGTTGAATAGCTTAAAAGTTTAAAAGCTGAGGTTTTTCACTGGGGAAGAGACAGTGTTGTCTCTGGAGATGGGGATTTATTTTGAAATGTACTGGAATAAAAGGACTATGGAAGAGCTCAGCTCATTGGAACCTTAACCCAGGTTCCAATGGACTGAGACCTCTTGAAACAGCATGCAAATTACTGTAGAAATCTAGGGATCACAGGAGAACATAGCTAGTAAGCAGAAGAGGAATAACCATCATATACCTTTCTAGATTATGAGTATAGCTCAGTGGTAGAACATGTGGTTAGCATACATGAGACCCTGGGTTTGACTCCAGCAACAAACAAAAACACTACCACCAAACCAAAGACAAAAGGGAGAAAGAAAGAACCACCTTTTCACTGTCATTATAACACAAGGATCATCAATAATACAACTATCAGAAGTATGAGATGAAAAGTTGGGGGGACAGGATGGTTCCCCATGGTACCACCAATGGATTACTTCCTAATGTAGCATGCTGAGAAGTCCAGTGCTCACCTTAACTCAGTGACAAAAGCCAGCATCACACCAGAGGGCCAGCGGCCATGCTTCCTGATGGAGAACCATGTGCATCTCACAGCAGCACCGATGAAATTTTCTTGCCAAAACTGTCTTGAAAGAACCTAAAGAAGCCTTTGGATTTAACTTCCAGCTCACAGAAAATGAGGGCTGTATGTGAAAGTGCTGAAAGAGGATCACGCCAAGAGGAAACAATCAGATAAATCCAGAATGTGAGGCATTACACTAGACAACCGGCCTGCTCTTTTCAAAACAGAGAAAAAAAATAACAAAATGTGAGAGATCATTCTTGACTGAATCCTGGTTGGGGGGAGGGGCTTAAAAAAACTATGAAAGTATAGTTTGGAGATCATTAGGAGAAATTTGAAAATCGAACTTATTTTCTTAATGGAACTTACTTTCTTAATAGCATTGGTTGAGATTATATATGTTAGCAAAGGATGCTGCATTGTTCAGAACTTCATGACTACATTTGAAATGACTCAACAAACAAAAAGTAATTTTTTTCCTAGGGGAAGGGGCTTTAGTTTTCTTTCATATTCTTAAAAGGCTCACACCTGTAATCCTAGCTATTCAGGAGGCTGAGACCAGTATAGCAGTTCAAGGCCCGGCCCAAGCAAAATAACCAGAAAAAAGCCAAGCTAGAGATGTGTGGCTCAAGTGGTAGAGCACCAGCAAAGTGGGCAAGCAAATCAAACAAGTGTGAGGCCCAGAGTTCAAGCCCCAAGAGGGAAGCAGGGGTTTGTAATCACCAAAAATATAAAACCACTTAATAAAATCCACTTCTTGAATAACCCAGGTTCAAAATGTAGGCTCTGGAACCCAATAACCAAGAAACTAGCAACTTCCTGGCAATGGTGTATGTGTACATACCTGTTAGGATACTCCTGAAGTTCCACGCCCCTCCAATGGGGGGAGTTTTGTGCCTTTGGTAAGCCAGAAACTAGTTACAATTCTGCAAACCAGGGAAGACATTGCCAGGAACAAAGCCTGCAGTGTCCTGCCACTCCTCACAGACAGATCTACCTTCTACTGTTTCCCTTTTCCAGCAATTTACCTCTCCCCTACAAAGTCAAGGGAATGAATAAATACCTAACCTGCATTTGTCCAGACTGGCAGGCCATGACACTGTAATTTCTGGCAGTACATTTTAGCATGTGGATGCTGAGCATGATTTTTGGCTGTGAGAATCACCGTGAGCCGCATCAACTAGCTGAGAAAGTGTTACTGAGAACATCCACACCTTGTTAGGCAGACACTTGCGGTCCCTGCCTCCACTCCTGCCCTGGCCCAATCCCCAGGGAAAAGACAACATTCCAGCCTCGCTCTTCTCAACAGCTGATGATTTTTGCCCCTACATGTGCTAAACTCTCTCAACACTGTAGCTTCTCATGTTGCACAGCTAGCACCTTCCTCTGGGCTCCATGCTGCCTTGGGCTCCCACAAGCCACAGAGCAGTATTTCAGAAGACACTGATTGCTCACTACTGTAATCCTAGTTACTCAGGAGGTTGAGATCTGAGGATCTCAATTTTGATTTCCAATAAACTACTCAGAAAAACCTGGAAGTAGTGCTGTGGCTCAGGTGGTAGTGAGCTAGCTTTGAGCAAAAGTTTAGAGATGGTACACAAGCCCTGAGTTCAAGACCCATGACCAGCACAAAAAAAGAAAAGAAAGGAATGAAGAAAGAAAGAAAGAAGGAAGGAAGAAAAGAAAGGAGGGAAGGAGGGAAGGAGGGAGGGAGGGAGGGAGGGAGGGAGGGAAGAGAAAGACAACACTGACTCTTCAGATGCATATGCTTAGAACAGTACAAGGGCTTGGGTCTGGGCCCCAGCCTCCAGGATAGAGCTCTTTTGACTACCTCCTTCTCAAGCATGGACCTGGGACTCCCTTTCCCACAATCATCTCAGAATTTAGGACTCTCAGCCCTGTGGAGCCCCATTTAAGGATCCTTGGGGCTCCAGATTAAACCTCAATTTTATGTTATTTTATTTTAATTTTTGTCAGTCATGGCGCTTGAACTCTGAACCTGGACACTGTCCCTGAGCTCTTCAGCTCAAGGCACGCGCTCTACCACTTGAGCAGCACTTCCAGTTTTCTGGTGCTTAAGTGGATAAGAGTCTCACAAACTTTCCGGCCCAGGCTGAGTTTGAACCATGATCCTCAGATCTTGGCCTCCAGAGTAGCTAGGATTACAGATGTGAGCCACTGGCGTCTGGCCTAAAACTCAAATTTTAATCTGAAAAAAATAAATCCTCTTAGAAGTAAACTTCTGAGACACTTATAACAAACCTGGAGGACAGAATTCAGGACAAAAAAGCAAGTGATCTGAACATGTAAGCTACAGTGGCTATACTCTTAAATTTTACGACCTGGTTGTGGCTGTGGGCTAGGCAGCAGGCTGTCACAAGAGATGGATGGTGCAATTTCTGTGGTTTTGTGTGGGTTTCACTTTCTATTCCCAGGAAGCACCAATGGTGCTGTGAAGGCAGCACAGGCCACACTCACCATCAGGGCCAGCCTCTGGACACCACTGTCAACAGTGCCGATTCCCACAGGGCTCAGAGAGCCATCATGAGACATGGATGAGACCAGCCTTTAAAGTTTCCTTGCCTCTAGGCAACCCTGCCTTGTGAGAAAATGAAGTTGTCCACATGGGTACCTGGATATTTTTCTGATTTTTGAATCATGAACTCTCTCTTTTTACCTCTAAGAATATTGTTTTCGTTTTTGTCAGTCATGGGGCCTGAACTCTGTCCCTCAGCTCTTCAGCTCAAGGTAAGCACAATACCACTTGAGCCACAGCATCACTTCCGGCTTTTTCTGCTTATGTGGTACTAAGGAATCAAACCCAGGGCCTCATGCATGCAAGGCAAGCGCTCTACCACTGAGCCACCTTCCCAGCCCCTAAGGATTGTCTTGTGCTCTGCACCAGGGAATACAAGAAGAAATCCTTTATTATCTAGTGGGATGACTTGAAACTCTGATGACACATAAGGAATCATCTAGGAAGGTTTCAACACATACCCAGACCAAAGGAACCAAGATGGTGGTGGTGGGCCAGTCTTTGATACTTTAAACCAAACAGAAACTCCTCAAGTGATTCTATAGTCTGGTCAGGAAAGAAGAAAACCCATTATTTACAGATGAGGAAAGTGAGGGTGAGATCGTTGGTGCACTGGAAGACAGAGCTGGTGGGAGAAGCACCCTCCACTGCTCCCCACCCTTAGGAGAAAGAGGGATCTGACCACCCATTGCCTAGAGGAAGAGGACAGACTTGAGTGGAGGAACGGATTGGATCAGCAGCAGGGATGGAGCAAACTGTCAGGATTTTGCAGGGGGAGGGTAGAGAAATAGGAGGAACAGATTATGCAAGACTGTGGGCCAGAATAACAATTCTGAACTTTATCCTAATAGCCCTGGGAAGTCAATGAAAGCTGAAGCAAACAAGTAGTACAATTCATTCAACAGTCAAGAGCTATTTATTTATTAAGTGCTTACTGTAGGTCAGGCAGACAGGTCACAAGAACAAAAGAGCAAATCTGGGCTGGAGATGTGGCTCAAGTGGTAGAGTGTCTAATAAATGTGAAGCTCTAAGTTCAAACACCAGTATCGCCAAAACTAAAAACAATAATAAAATAAAGGTAATAAAGTGAAGGTAATAAAGTCCCTGTGAATCTTAGATCTATTACCTCTAGTGATGTAACTGAAAGATCCTTTAGGACTTCCATAGGATCTGACAGTGGGGATTAGTAAAACCTCAAGGTTTCTAGACTTACTCAAACCTCTGCTGCCAGTGCTCTAGCCACTCCTCCCTTTGTCCCTCAAAAACATCCCACTGAAGTACAAAGTGGCAGGGTGCTCATGTAACCACTCTGGTTAAAACTATTAAATGGTTTTCTGGTGCCCAGATAACGTCAAAATTCCTTCCCTTCTTTTCCTTTGAAAGTCTACGATAATTTAGGCCCAGCCCTCATCTCCCAGCTCATCTCCTGCCCCGCTCTCCCTCCAACTCCACCTCAAACCAGAGCCAAACCCAACCCCTCTCCACGCCTTAAAGAAATGCCACAATTTTGCCTGCAAGACCCTTGAAAACACTATTCTCTCTGCCTAGAATCCCATGCCTTTCCTGCATAGCAAAGCCCTCTTTCAACTTGAGTTCTCAGCTGAACACCATCCCATCTGGCAACCCTGTCTCGACCTCTCAGACTGGGGCTACAAGCACTCCCTCAACCCAGCTCCCCGCCCCTGCTGCACCCTGTACTTCAGTGTTAAGTTCCCATGTAATAGTACAAAGGTTGGCTGAAGACGCCAATACATAAAGTTCAGACAGAGCACATCCGATACAAAGTGTGCGCTGAAGGAATGCAAGCAATCCTCCTCTCCATCAAGATAGGAAATGACTAGCAAGGCCTTCAAGTACAGCTGGTGGCTCACGCCTGTAATCCTAGCTACTCAGGAGGCTGAGATCTGAGGGTTGGAGTTCAAAGCCAGCCCGGGCAGGAAAGGCTGTGAGATTTTTATCTCCAATTAACCACCAGAAAACCGGAAGTGGTGCTGTGGTTCAAGTGGTAGAACACTGGCCTTGAGCTGAAGAGCTGAGGGACAGCGCCCAGGCCCAGAGTTCAAGCTCTATAACCAACAAACAAATAAATAAATAAATAAAAACAGCAAGATACATATTACCTATAGGTCATGATATCCAAGGTTGGCCCAGGAAAGTAGAGAACCCAGGAGGGAAAAGTCTGGGTCTGAAAAAATGGCTCTAATGGAATAAATTATAAATGATAATGATAATAATTGTTCCTTCCCTTTCCTTTAGCTTTAGACCTAAATATACAACCATAAACTATATATACATATATATATATATATATATATATATATATATCCCAGTTTTCAATCTGAAATGAATAATCACTGCATTTTTTTCTTTTTTTTTTCTTGACATCTTGATGAGGTTCATTCATGTGATGATGAGCTGATTTTGTTCACTTGCATTATAGTTGTATGACATTTTGTATGTGTGTGAACACATACAAAGTGGCCTTGAGTCCTCATAGGAAGGACAATCTGCTCGGATCTGACAGATCTCCAACCTGCTCTCTGCCACCTGGGCCTTCCCTTAGGAATTCTGAGGAAACACAAGCAGAATCTTCTTGGGCCCTCAACTGTAATTCTAACCCAAGCCTGCAGTAAACAGTCCTACGTTAAGGTTAAAGCAACCTGGATTTTTCACCTAGCTTCAGCAAAACTGTTACACAGCCCAAGGCTAGATTCATGACCTTTCTAGGCTTCTATCACCATGACAAAATACTAGGGAGACTACCTAGGCCATTCATAGGGGTAAACTGAAATTAAAGTCTGGTAGGTACATCAGTATATTTACCATGCAACATAAAGTTATCAAAGGCATCCAAATCAGAATCAACAGTTGAAATCTTTGGGTCAGAAATCTTACTATTATGTCAGGTACGGGTGGCTCATACCTAGCAATTAGGAGGCTGAGATCTGAGGATAGCAGTTCCAAGCCAGCCCGGACAACAAAATCCATGAGACTCTTAACTACAATTAACCAGCAAAAAAGGCCGGAAGTGGAGATGTGACTCAAGTGGTAGAGCACTAGCCTCAAGCAAAAAAGCTGAGAGACAATATCCAGTCTCTGGGTTCCACGTCCCAGGACCTGCACCAAACAAAGGAAAAGAATAAAGAAAGAAATCTCTGGTGGTTTTGTGCTGATTTCTGACAATATGGCTATCAAGAAGAGAAACAGCAGCTTATCAAATTTAGTGTTGTAAAGATTACAAATGGAGTCAGCTAACTCTACAATCATAGGTGAGAGAGATGGAGATATTGTAACTATTAATACTTGGGAGAAGGGGGCATCTAAGCCAGTAGATGCCAACAACTAGGGATTTACATGTCTATCTTGGTTGTACTGGGGATTGAACTCACAGCCTTCTGCTTGCCACTACACCCTGCCATTGGTTGAGTGGAGTCTCCTGAACTTCTTGCCAAAGCTGGCCTGAAACTGACATATCTCCACCTCTCAAAGTAGCCAAGATTACAGGTTTGAGCCACTGCAGCCACTAGAAGTTACTTTTATTTATTTTATTTATTTATTTTTGCTGGTCCTAGGCCTTGAACTTAGGGCCTAGGCTCTATCTCTGAGCCTCTCTATGCTCAAGGTAAGCACTCTACCACTTGAGCCATAGCTCCATTTCTGGCTTTTTCTGAGTAGTTTATTGGAGATAAAAGTCTCGCAGACTTTCCTACTTGGGCTGGCTTTGAACCAGGATCCTCAGATCTCAGTCTCCTGAGAGCTAGGATTATAGGCATGAGCCACTGATGCTTGACTTAGAAATTACTAATTTTTATTAACACTAAGACATTCATGCCATCACATCTCAGTATCTCTGAAATACGATCAATGACATCATAATTTAACTGACAAAGTATTTTTCCCATGTGAAGCTGAAAATAAGGGTATATAAAGTAATGGCCTCTCAGATTTGAGGTGTAGCATGTCTCACCAGGGTTCCCAGGACCACCTTCCTAACACGTGAATCTCATCCTTTATTCTCTCATTAAAACTCACAAGGGAGACCTGTGAAACCTGTGAATTACCATATTCCTAGAGATTAAAAATCAGTGAGGCATGACCCTTAGGTCCACTTTCTGATTGGGTGAAAAGAGAGGTAACTCATATTTGTAATCTTAGCTTCAGGAAAGTCCATGAGACTCATCTCCAATTCATTACCAAAAAGCTGGAAATGACACACTGTTGCTCAAAGTGGTAGAGCACTAGCCTTGAGCACAAAAGCTCAGGGACAATGCTCAGGCCCTGAGTTCAAATCCCAATACACACACACACACAAGCACAAAGCTCACAAAGCCCAACACAATCTTATCCATCTAGTCCCAAATCCTGCCTCACCCCACTGTGGCTAGGTGAACTTGGAAAACACCCTTCACTCCCCATTCTCCTCCCCTGCCCAGCTAAACCTTTAACAGGACTGGTCCCCCTGATTGAGGTTTTTGCTGTGTCCCTACTCAAGCTCCTGCAGCTCTGGAACACTTTGTGTCTGTGAGAACATGACCACCCTGCTTCCTAACTGGTATTTTACCTGTCTTCTCACCCAACCAGAAAGTAGACCTAAGGGCCATACCTCACTGATTTTTCTTTTAATCTCTAGGAATATGGCCCAAAGCAGGTTTGTTATTGGATCAGTATCATCCACTGGTTTAGAACTTCTCATCTTGTCCCTTCTTTTTTTTTTTTTTTTCCATTCGTGGGGCTTGAACTCTGGGCCTGGGTGCTGTCCCTGAGCTTTTCAGCTCAAGGCAAGTGCTCTATCACTTGAGCCACAACACTTCCAGTTTTCTGGTGGTTAATAGATAGGAGTTTCACGAACTTTCCTGCCCAGGCTGGCTTTGAACCCTATCTTTAGATCTGAGCCTCCTGAGTAGCCAGGATTACAGGCGTGAGGCCACCAGCACCCAGCTTGGCCCTCTCTTTTACTACAGTCCCATCTCCAACATCACACACCTGCTTCAAACCTAGGGCTCACATCTTTGCCACGATTACCTACATCTCCTCCAGTCTCCCTCTGCGCGTGCGCGCGCGCGCGCACACACACACACACACACACACACAATTTTGGGGAAAGGTCAAAAATCCATTTCTCCCCCGCCCCCCCCCACGTTACTTCATGTATTTTCTTTTTCTGACCTAGGGAGGGAGGAACCTCTAAATCTGAAATTACCTCCAAGAAAACTCAACTCAGAAGCTCTACCTGAGGTCTGCAGTGTCTGCAAGGCCTTACCAAGTCTGATTCCAGCTGGTTCTTCTCTTGTAGAAAAATGACCACTGTTCTTGGGCCTTCGTTTCTTTAACTTTTAACAGAAAGATAATGTTTTGCCGGGCACTGGTAATCCTAGCTACTCAGGAGACTGAGATGTGAGGATCAAAGTTCAAAGCTAACCTGGGCAGGAAAGACCATGAGACTTTTATCCCCAATTAACTGCCAGAAAATCAGAAGTGGAGTTGTGGCTCAACGTGGTAGAGCACTAGCCTTGAGCATAAGAGCTCAGAGACAGTGCCCATGCCTTGAGTTCAAGCCCCACAACTGACAAATATAAAAAAAGTGTTTTGCCAAGTTTACCAGCTTGTGTGAAGTTCAAGAGTCATTACATACATCATCTTTACAATAAAATTAAAAAAAATAAGCCTCCACATAAGTAAAACTGTTTCTACTACTACAGAAAGCACTATTATAAAAGGAGGAGCAAGATGTCAACTTGAAAGAGCATCCATGGCCAAAGCTGTAACTTTTTTTTTTTTGTGCCCGTCCTGGGGTTTGAACTCAGGGCCTAGGTGCTATCCCAGTACTTCTTTTGCTCAAGGTTACTGCTCTACTACTTAAGCCACAGTGCTACTTTCAGCTTTTTTGGTAGTTTAGTGGAGGTAAGAGTCCCAAAGGGAAAAAAAAAAAGAGTCCCACAGAAGCAGGCGCTGGTGGCTCAGGCCTGAAATCCTAGCTACTCCGGAGGCTGAAACCTGAGGAGTGTGGTTCAAAGCCAGTGCAGGCAGGAAAGTCTGTGAGACTTTTATCTTCAATTAACCACCAGAAAACTGAAGTGGAGCTGTGCCTCAAGAGCATTAGCCTTGAGCAAAAGAGATCAGAGAAAGCACCAGACCCTTAGTTTAAGCCACACGATGGACAAAAATAAGTGTTCCACAGATTTTCCTGTTCAGATGGCTTCAAATCTCCATCCTCATATCTCAGCCTCCTGAGTAGCTAGGATTTTTTTTTTTTGGTCGGTTGTGGGGCCTTGAACTCTGGGCTTGGGCGCTGTCCCTGTGCTCTTCAGCTCAAGGCAAGCACTGTACCACTTGAGCCACAGTGCCACTTCCTGCTTTTTTTCTGAGATAAGAGTCTCACGGACTTTTCTGCCTGGGCTTTGAACCGTGATCCTCAGATCTCAGCCTCCTGAGTAGCTAGGATTACAGGCGTGAGTCACTGGCGCCGGTTGTAGCTAGGATTTTTACAGGAGTGACCCACTGGCACCTGGCTCAAAGCTGTAACAATGTAAACAACAAAATAAATATTGGATTATAAAGAAAAGGTTAAAATCTGAGTCCATACTGATATAAACAAATAACTGGATAATTGAATAGGGGAGAAGAACAAATCTTTCATGAAGAAGAATTTCACCAAGTAATATATGCAAATTCTTGCCCTGAGGCAGGGAGAGTAACTCCTCACTCTTAGGCATGGAGTGAACAATGTGACTTCCTGCTAAAGAACACAGTATGCACTGGGAGAGAAATACAGTATGCAACTTGTAGAAATACAATATGTAACTTGGAGAAACCTAAAAAATAAGTGATTGAGATCAACATCAAGACAGACATAAATCATGATAATGGCATGAAACCCTTGATATAAATATGGTAATTCTTCCATGATTCTCCTCTAAATAATCTATAAACTCAGCTTTAGAGGAGGAAAACATCAAATATTGATAGAAAGACATCCTACAATATACATGTCCACAGGCTATAGTTTAGATTACAGTTATCCCTCAGACGTCCAAGTGGAAAAGACTTGCTCCTCACCTTGGTACTATTGGGAGTTGGTGAAAATTTTAAGAGATGTGGCTGAGTGGGAAGTTTTTAGGTCTCTGGAATAGTGCCCTAGAAGGGGCTTATAAGACTCTTGTTTCCTGTCTATGAGGTGAGTTCACTCATGAGCCCCCTCCCCCACTACAGGCCTAATCCAACAAGGGCCAACTGATTCTGGACTGAAACCTCCTAAAGTATGCACCAAAATAAAAAGGCTTTTCTCTTTGCAAGCTAATTATCTTAGGAATTTGTTACAATGAAGAAAAGCCGATATAATGATATTCCTCAAAACTGTCAAGGTCAACCAAAGTCTGAGAAATCTGCCACAGCCAAGAGACATAGCAAGTAAATGCAATATGGTAACCAAGATGTTAGGAAAAAAAAAAAAAAGAAAATCTGAATATACTGTTGGCTTAGGCCAATAATAATGAGCCAAGCTGGGGACCAGTGGCTCATGCCTGTAATCCTAGCAATTTAGGAGGCTGAGATCTGAGGATCTGAAACCAGCCAGGTCAGGAAAGTCCATGAGACTCCTAACTCCAAAAAGCTGATAGTAGAGTTGTGGCAAAATTGGTGCTAGCCTTGAGTGAAAATAGTCTGAGGGGCAGCACACAGACCTTGAGCTCAAGCCCCAGTACCAGCAATAGTAATAATAGTAATAGTAATAATAATGAACCAATACAAATATATGCCAGACTGATGTAGAAATGATGAAGAAAAGGAAAACAGATTTGCACTATCTGGGAATTCTGAACTACTTTTCTCTATTATTTTATAAATCTAAAACTTCTAAAACTCAAGTATATTAAAAGTCGCAGTTTTGAGAAAGACTAGAGAAAGTCTCCTTTTAGAAAATGTGATTTTTAAAAAAATTAAAACGGTAAAATATGCTGGAGGTTATCATTTCAGCTAACAGAAGGTTCAGGCATGCATGAACAAATGTCATTCTTCCCTCTTTTGAAGCACACAGTTTGGTGTCAAAATCTGGAATCTACTGGTCATTTTGAAGTGTTTCCCTCTCACTTACTTTACAAAGTTAAATTTATGCACTTTATTTTTCCTGAGACTAAATAGCCAGAAAATGTGCAGGGAAAAGACACGGTTCCAAGTATATGTGGCTAACATCAATTTACTCTGATGTTCAAATAAATAAATAAAAAATAAAAAAGGAAAGGAAAAAAAAAAGGAAAGGAAACCTGACTTTGATCATGCAGCGGGATTGGCCATCAACCTACAACGCTCCAAACCACCAGACCGTCATCCGGGTCCCGCGGACTTGGGGCTCCGGGGACTGGAAGGGGTCGGACACAGAAACGGAACAAGACTCTCCAGTTAGGGGCGAACGGAGGGTCAAGCGAGCGGGAGGGGCTCGGCCGGTGGGGAGGACGCCGCGAACTCGCCCCCTCCCCAGCTCCCCCGGCGGCCTTGGCCCGGCTCTCTGCCCCTGGGCCTGGCGGCCGCATTCAATCACCTCGACCTAGAGGCGCGTGTGTGCGATCGCGATTCCGCGGCCTTTCGGATCGGATTCCCCCGCTACTCACGGGTCCAGAGCTCCGGGCGGCGAACCCAGCGCCCCGTGGCGCTCGTCTCCCGCTCCGGTGTGTTCCGGGTCTCGTTCCTCCACGAGCCCAGCAGCGCGACAGCGCGTCCCCGCCCCGTAATCTCCCGGCTCTTCGGTGCCCTCCGCCGAGATTTCTCTCGGGCCAGCTCCGGGATTGGCCCCTGCCGAACTCCATCCTCCAATGGGAACTTTAGTTTCGTCTACGTCACTGATCACCGGGCAAATCCCCAGGCAGCCGCGGGGGGTGGGGCAGCGGGTCGGGTGCAGAGAAACTGAAATCTGAAGGGGCGGGGGCGGGTCCCAGTGGGAGCTGGAGTTTGGCGCGCAGGGTTGGTGCCCAGTTGCGGGCTTTACTGGGGACTAACTTCTGAAGCCTCATGAGGCCCCTATATCGGACTGGAGTAGCCAGGATCCCCTCTCCGCCTTCTGAGATTCCCCCCCACTTCCGGATTCCCAAGCACTGGATCAGGGTCAGCTGGCGCTTCTGGGCGAAGCGACGCTTGCCAGGTGCTTAGCGTTAAATGTGACTCCCCACTCCCAGCGCGGTCCGAGTGTGCTCCCAGCGCCGGACGGGACGGATGTTAGCAAGCAAATACTCTTAGGGTTTATTTTGCAAAAAGAAAACTACCATGGTAGTGCCTGCACGTAAAATACCCTTACATAAGCAGGCCTTGTCCCCACTAGACAGAAGAGCAAACTGAGGGTTGGTTAGTTAGTATCCGTGTCTCTGCTAATCGGCGCGGAATATGCAAAACCGCAGAGCCCGCACCCGCCGGCGGGAACTCGGCTACGCAGGGTCCTCGGAGGGCGCTGTTTCCAGGGGGCCCCGAGCGAGTTCCCGCCACCCGCGCCCCGGGAGGCCGACCACGCGGAGCACTGCGCGACCCCCGACCGCCGCAGGGCTCCTGCTCTGCCTCCGTCGCCGCCCCAGTCCCGCGGCGAGTTCAGTCCCTGCGCGACCTTGGCGCTTGGCGGGTCCGGCACTGCTGCGTGGAAGCCCCTTCCCCACTGCATCCGCAGCTCCCCGGGCCGAGGGGCGGCAGCGGCCCGGCCCGGCCCCTGCGCCCGGCTGGAGAGAGGCTTCGCGACCCCTCCAGTCCACGTGTCAGGGTAAGCCGAGAAGCGTAGAGTGGGGTCGTGGTGGGTGGCAGGTGTTAGGATGGAGTGTGAGGAAGGAGTGCAGTTAGGGTACTAAAGCCTAAAATCGATCCGATCACCCCCTCCCTGGCTGGGGATGGGGAAGTTTGAATAAAGAGCTGGTGAAGGGGATGGGCTCCACCGTGGTGGGGGGTGTGCTCTGGACTCTACACCCACCTGCTCCTGTAGTTGATGGTGTGGAAAGAAAGTGCCACTGGGTCCTTCAGACATTCTGTGCAAGCTCCACGCCTGGCAGTTCATTCCCATCAGTGAGAAATCTCTATCTTTGGTTAAAAGCATTGGTGGTGTCCGTCTGTAATCCCAGCTACTCAAGAGCTGAAGGTAAGGAGGATGGGATGGATGGAAAGCGCACCCTTGGGAAAACCACAAGATTCTTAGGAAAATAGGAAAAACAAAAAATAACTGGGGGGCAGAGTGTGTCTCCAATGAACTCAAGCCCCAGATGGGGTGGGGTCTCTATATTCTCGGCACTTTGCTTGCCTGTTTATTTTGAGGCAGGGCCTTGACATGTAGCCCAGGCTGACCTCTAACTCACAATCCTCCTGACTCAGCCTCCAGAGTGTTGCTGGGGTAACAGGTATGCCATGAGTTTCCTTGGTTTGCACCTTACCACTTGAGCCATGCCTCCAGCCATGGCTTTTGCTGTTTTATTGTTGTTGATGGAGCCTCACAGGCTTTTCTGACAGGGATATCTTGGAACCATAATCCTCTAGTTCTCAGCCTCCTGAGTGAGCCATTGGCATCTGGCTTAAATTTAATTGGAGGGCAAAGGGTGCCAGTATTGGAGTTTGAACTCAAGGCCTCGGTACTGTCACTTAACTTTTTCACTCCACTTCCAGCTTTTTGGTGGTTATTTGGAATTCAGAGTCTCACATACTTTACTGCCTGGGTTGTCTTCAAACCACAATCCTCAGATCTCACCTGGCTTTTTGAGAGCTAGGGTTACAGTAATGAACCACCTGCACCTAGCTTTAAATTGAATTTTAAATCTGTATTTTTGCTTTCTAGCAAAGACTTAAACTAATAAGCAAATTTTCTGCTGTTAAGAATTGACTGCTTTTCGGGCTGGGAAGGTGGCTCAGTGGTAGAGCACTTGCCTTGCATACATGAGGCCCTGAGTTCAATTCCTCAGCACCACATAAGCAAAAAAAAAAAAAAAAAGCCGGAAGTGGTACTGTGGCTCAAGTGGTAGAGTGCTAGCCTTGAGCTGAAGAGCTGAGGGACAGCGCTCAGGCCCAGAGTTCAGGCCCCAGTACCAGACCCAAAAAAAAAAAAACAAATAAATATTGTTTTTCTTATTGTTCTGTTTTTACTTTCCTTATGGATTTTTCATATATATATGTTTTTCAATATATTTTTCATATATCCTTGGAAATAAGTTTTTATCCTATGTCAGAACACCCTCTAGTAAAGGAACAATGCCAGTGGTTCATGCCTTGCTACTCAGAAAGCTGAGATCTAAGGATAGCCGGTATGGGCAGGAAAGCACATGAGACTCTTAACTCCAATTAACCACCAAAAAGCTGAAAATGGAGCTCTAGCTCAAGTAGTGGAGTACTAGCCTTGAGCAAAAAAGCTCAGAGATAGCACCTAGGCCCCGAGTTCAAGCCCTAGACACATGCTCATGCTCGCTTGCGCATACACACATACACACAAGCAAGAACAGGTCATAAGCAATTTTCCCACTGTATGTGTCGAATTGTCTATAGTTACTATGCAATTCAAACACTAGGTGGTGATGTAGGACAGGTTTCTGCCATAAGTCTAGGACTACCTAAATTAAGAGCTTGAGGAAGGGGGACCTGTGGTTTTGGAAGTTCTGGAGAGTACCTGTAACAGCTCTTTCAGAGGTACAGACCTGTGGTAAACTCCTTTTTGATTGCCTGGTAAGTAACCCCTCTTAGTCCCTCCTTTTACTCATTCTACTTGGATTTGAGTTGTGCTTTCTGCTGTCAGCACCATGCCAGTTTAGAGGCACATGGTTTGTTTAACCCCCTTGGGAAATTCACACAACATCAAAGCAGAGATATAAACTAGGTACACAATTTTAACAGCAATTGATAGGTATGCTTTTCTTTTATTGGAGATAAGAGTTTTATGGGGTTTTCTGTGTAGGCTAGTTTCAAACCTTGGTCCTCAGACCTTAGCATCCTGTGTAGCTAGGATTACAGGCATGAGCTACTGGCTCATGTTTAACTTTGTAAGGAACTACTCAAGTGTCTTCCACAATTAGCTGTACCAGGGGCTGGGAAGGTGGCTCAGTGGTAGAGTGCATGCCTTGCATGCCAGAGGCCCTGGGTT